GCGTGGAATGATTTTGGGATCAATGGTTGGTAGTTAAAGAGTGGTCTGTACCTGGTAAAGCGCGAGCTGGCTGGAAGAGTGTCAGAAGTGGTGATCTGACTATTGTCAATTGAGACGCTGCGTCCAGAATCTCGTGTCCGACTCAAGCCAGACGCAGGGTTCCTTCACCCAGGTCTTTCTCACGAACTCAATTCGTTGTCCTTCATCCATGGCCAGCTGATGGTTCGACCAATTCTGGTGTTTGATCCGGCTCGTGATTTCCGACGGATGATTCCCATGCTAGTTATGTACAAATATGCCAGTTTTACCAGTTTACCAGTTTTATCTCCATATTTCTGTCAGTTTCAAATCGCATACTGCTTGATCTCTGGATATGCAGGACGCGAGAACTAAAGAGCGTTAGAAAGTGAGAGACGTCACTGCCTTCTGAACATGATCTAGAACACTTAGAGATAGAGCTTGAAAGATGAGTTGAATTCAAAAGGCATTTCAAGTGATCCAACTTGATATTTAAGTAATATCTTATCTTGGACTCGGGTTTCGTTTCTATTTTAAAGTGGCGCGCGCTGTCACCGGCCATAGGCCGTGGGCCTCAGGTCTCAGGCAATCTAGTCCGAATGCGGATTAGTGGCAATTCATCCTCTGGGCTTCCAGCCTCATCTTTCTCCATCGTTCTCCCTCCCCTTCTTTCCTCCTTCCTTTCCAGCTTTCCTCTCCCTTCCCCCCCCCCCCACACCGATTGATCCGCACCACTATTCAGCTCTGTTGCGAGTTTGCTTATCTCGTTCCATCTGATCTTCTCATCGGGTTGGACGTCTGCTGCGCCAATTCGTCTCTCAAGTGGACTATCCAGACCTCTTCATTCCAAGGCTTCTCGTGTAGGTTGCCTGCCTTGCCTTACTACTCTCTTATCGTGCTCAGTCTATCCTCTTCCGCATCGCCTTTGTCTTTCATCTTCCCCCCCCCCCCAATACCCTGCGCTCATTCTCATCAATTCCTCAATCAAACTTCATCGAGTTTCGATCAAGCCAACTATCTTCATTTGTGCCTGCGATTTTCTTTCAAAGCTTTACTTCCTCATCGTCGCGTCGCGCCGTGATCGGCCCTCGAGACCATCATCTGTGCTCTTGATCCATATTGTGCTCCCTTTTCCTCCAATCTTTGTCTGGCTCGCGTGAGCGCCCTGCTTCTTTCTCTCTCTTCTCTGGCTCGCGCTTGTCTTTTCTACAAAGAAAAAAAATGCCTCTTCCTCGTCCCCTGGCCATTTTAGGGCCTACAGCCTCGTTCTCATCCTTTCATTGCCCACCTTGTTCCTTCAAACTATCATCATTGTCCCGCCCTTGAGACACTCTTACAAATGAAGGACGTACTCTAATCCGATGATGTCGAATCTTAGCTTATCCATTGTCCCTCCCACTTTCGGGTCAACTCGCGACCTGCCCTGCCAGTCCCACAACCCGGACCATTAACCCCAAGTGACTTCCAGTCTCGGACTGTCCGATATTCCCTTCAGGGCATCGCTGTGATGGATGCATATGACACTTTCGGCTCTCCCGGGAGAAGCCGTGATGGCGGCGATCTTTACGCCACCCGTGCACCAGTCGATTCGTATCGCCGCAGATCGCCTGGTAAGTGGAAAGATTCTGGTCGTTTGTTTAGTCACACGGCCTACTGATGACATCTTGAACTTATTAGTGTCTCAAGACCGCCGTCGGGGTCGCGGCCGCTCTCGTTCGCCTGCTATGATCGATCGCTATGAACCGGTCGACCGTCGTGCTCCACGAGACGATTATTACGGCGCGTCCCGCGAGCATGCCGCGCGTGAGCGTGACGACCGTCGTTCTGCGCCATCGCCCAATGTCGCCAATATCGATCGCTATGTCCCGGGGCAGGATTCCGGCAAGCGCCCAATCCCCACAAATCCTCTGCCTAACCCTCTCAACCTGGACTTTCAAGTTGGATTCAATTGGTTTGCAGAATGGTGGAGGGCTGAGCAGGCCATCAAGGAAGAGAAGGAACGCGCTAAGCACGGTGGCAGACGCCCATCAGATCGCGTCAAAGGAGAACGCGAGGCTCGCGAAGACAGAGACAGAGAAAGGGCACAAATCCAGGCTGCTTACGACGCCTACAAAGTCGACCTTCAAGCCAAGATGGCCCGCACTTTCGTTCAACATCATCGCAACGAGGAATGGTTCAAAGAGCGATATGTCCCGGAAGTGCGAGAGCCTCTCCGTCGCCGATTGATGGACTTCCGCATGAGCGCTTATCAGCAATGGGAGAACGATCTTGATAACGGCATCTTCGATGAGTTCACCTTGGAAGGTATCTACAAGAGCGAGAGCGACGGAGCCGGCGGTGTAATCGAGAAAGAAGAGGGCGAAACAACTGCTGTTGGCGAGACTTTGGGTGTCTTGGATTTGCTCCCAGCCAGAGGCGGTGACCTACGGGATGAGGCGCTATCCCAGTCAGCCTTACTGATCAAGACCTTGGCTCCCAATGTGAGTCGTGTCAAAATCGAAGAATTCTGCAAGGAGCACCTGGGGGAATCAGACGGAGGTTTCAAATGGCTAAGTCTAAGTGACCCTAACCCTTCCAAGAAGTACCATCGGATGGGTTGGATCATGCTTCACCCAGCTCCCGATGTTCCCATCGTTGAAAGAGGCGATGGGCGCGAAGAAGAAGGTGAAGAGATGGATCAGGATAGCAACTCCAACGGAAACGTGACCGTGTCGGCCGCTGAGAAAGCCCTCGAAGCTATTAATGACAAAACAATCCACGACGAAATTCACGGTGATTTTGTTTGCCATGTCGGTGTTCATGTGCCCCCGTCGCAACCCCGCAAGAAGGCTTTGTGGGACCTGTTCTCATCCCCCGAGCGCATCTCTCGGGATTTGGAGCTAGCGAGGAGACTGGTTTCCAGATTAGACGGGGAGATGGGGGCTCATGCGGATGGATTCACCCGGATTGAGGAGAGAGTCGAAGATCTGCGCGGCAAGGGGTGGCTACAACCCCCTGTGACTGGCCCCGTTAGCGTCAAGAAGAGGAAGTCTGATTACGATGCTGATGATATCGATGAGGGCGAGGCCGAAGAGGGAGAGGAGCGGGAGGGATGGGAAGATGACGACGTGGATGACGAGGAACTTCTGGCCAAGAAGAAGAAATTGGATTTGATGGTGGAGTACCTTCGAAGAGTCTACAATTTCTGCTTCTTCTGTGTCTTTGAATGCGACTCAGTCCATGAGCTTGCTCGGAAATGTCCAGGTGGACATCTTCGTCGCCCACGTGCTGGTCTGACAACACAGTCCAAGGCTGTCGCTCGGGCTAGTGCACTGGGGCAGCCGTTCCCCGTCAAAAAGAAAGAGCCAAGCGAGGAGGGCGAGGAACAGCCGCCCGCTGCGGAGGAAAGACGGTCTCAACGATACAGCTCCAAGTCCGAACAACAGCTTCAGCGAGCCTTTAACTGGGTTAGGACCTTTGAAGACAAGCTCCTGCAAATCCTTGAGCCTGAGAATGTGGATATTGCGAAGTTAGGCGGCAAGCCAGTTGACGAGGCCCTGGAGGAGGAGCTGAGCAAGTTTATGAAGCAAGAGGACGAGTCAAAGTACCGATGCAAGGTTCCTGAATGCACGAAGCTGTTCAAGGCGGATCATTTCTGGCGTAAGCACGTGGAGAAGCGTCACACTGAGTGGTATGAAAACATTCGCAGCGACGTAAGTGCTTTCATTCCCCGTGAGTTAAGGTGTCGCTAACAAGTCATAGCTTGCTTTGGTCAATGCCTACGTGCTCGATCCCGCTCGCATCGCGCCTTCCCGGTCGGATGCCAACAGCAACGGTCATTTCCCCTTGGGCACTGGCCAAGGTCAGGCAGGTACTCCCCGTGGGTTCAGCCTGGCATCAATGCCGGCGCATTTCGCAGGCAGTGGTGGTGTGCCCCCAGGTTTCCAGGGTCTCCCTGGCTCTGGATTGCCCGGGTTCATGGGTGTCAATAACTCGTCCTGGAGCGGAAATGGTATGGTTCCTGGTGATGGCCATGGTCTGCATCAGCCCGGAGTTGTGCGTCGTGGTGGTGGTCGCTACAACAATCGCACCGGACCTTACGATCGCCGAGGTAACCGACATGGTGCACAAGCAGGTGGTAATGGCCGCTTGAGCCCGATCCGTAATATGTCTAACATCTATGGAGCGGGAGGTCGTCTGCCCGCCAGTTCTGGAGCCCCATACATTCCTGCTGGCCACCCCGCTGCGGCTGCTATGTTGGGGGGCGGCAATTTCCCCGATGCCAGTGGGGCGCAACAAGGTATGGGTCCGCGCGAGGCTGTTCAAGGCCGCAGTCTGAAGAGCTACGAGGATCTTGATGCCGTTGGCGGCGCTGGCAGTGGGGAGCTGAATTACTGAGGAAATTAGCCCAGCTTGTAACAATTTGGCGTTGGCTTTCTACTCCTGCATTTAAACCTTTCGATTTAAGTCTCGGCTTCGTTGCGTCTGTATTGTATTTCTCATGGGGTTCTTGTCTCTTTTTCCCGCTTTCTTCTCCATTTGCAGGTCAAAAACTGGTTTCGACGCAGCAGGTAGTTTGGGGTTTCAGTTATGGTGGTACAGTTTACTCATCTGGGATCGAAAAAAACAGTTTCCTAGCATCGGCATTGCTGAGTTGTATCATACTTCCGTCTCTCTCGGGATGAGCTAATGCTGCTCGATGGTCGTCATTCAATGGATTTGGTATGCGTTCTTCTCTCCTCGGACCATTTCTTTATTTAGTAACATGTAAGTATGGGTAATCCTTCAACAGCTCAAGTCACGCTTCTGGTCTGAAGCTTTATCATGCTATCGTCGATTTCCGCTCCGTAGTTTAGGTACTGTTCTATAATTTCCCATTGAGCGACACCACGATGCAGAAATTTAACCCGGGAAATAGCCGACTTTTAAATCAATTCCTATCGACTGCCTTCCCAGCGAGATTTCACGTGCCTCAGAAGCCCAACGAGGCCAATCCGCCGACGTTAAATCCCACCGAACCTTTCAGAGAACCTCCCACTGCTATCTCTCTTCCACCCTGCTGCGCCCGCACCGCCAATCCTCCCAGCTAGATGATTCGGATGAGCATGTCCACCCTCGCCCGCCAGATTGTGCGAGTCACTCCCACTGCCGCGTAACTCGCCCCTCCTACCGTTATCCCTCGCATCTTGATCATCGCTAACCCCCCGCTCCTCCAACTCAATGACCACCTCACTCGTCACCTCAATCTGCACGTCCTTCCGGATCCCCATCCCCATCATCCCCAGCTGCTGCTGACAGCCCCAGGCATGGCGCCCCAGGATCGGCTCCTCCTCGATGGTATCACCACCACCGCCACCACCATCACCCCCACCAGTGCCATCCGTACTGTAACCCCGACCCTCTTGCAGACCGCCGCGGGGTCTTTTCGTGGTATAGTGCCTTGACGAGCGGGAACCACCACCACCGCCACCACCACCACCACCACCGTCCCGCGTATTCCTGGTCGTGTTCTGGTGCCGGGATTTACTGTTGTGGGCGCCGCCGTCACTGGTGTAATAGGCGAGGCCGTCGTCGTCCTCGTAGACGGCGATCAACATCTTGAAGGAGGAGAGAGTGAGGAGGAGGATGCTGGTGGCGAGGTAGAGTTCTTTTAGGATGGTCGGGGTGGAGGCTTGGAGGGTTGGGTTCGGGGAGTGGAGTTGGGTGAGGAGGGTGCGGTAGTGGATGGTTGTTAGGGGGATTAGGAGGCTACAGTGTTTTCACTTGTCAGTGTTGCTTTTGCGAGAAAGGGGGTATGGGGGTGGTTCTGGAGTGAAGGATGGATGGATGGGGTGTGAATATGGTCATAGAGTAAGGTTGGAGAGAACGTACATTCCTCGGCTGCCGAGGAGGGAGAGAACGGTTAGTTTGCGGGATCGGCGGAGTCGGAGGCTGTAGATTAATCTGATGGGGTAGATGAATAGGAGGATTTCGAGGAGGATGTCCAGGGCGGTGGTTGCTGTCCAGTGGGGTTGCTGTGGGATTTGGGGAGGGTTAGGTTCGGGGAGGTTTGCATTCGAAGGGGTTTGTATTGGGGATGGGATGGGATGATAAAAGCACTGACTAGACTGCGGCAGTTGTCGTTGATGTCGGTCCATGGTTGGGTCCTGCTGCAGCGGATCCCGACGAGGATGACTGATACTATTGTCCAGATGATGGACACACCCAAAAGACTGCGTGGGATCCAGCGAGCCGCGTGAGTGGTCAGGTGTTGGTATAGAAGACTCGTGCAGCATTTGGACAGGCCGAGGACCATGAGGTAGAGCAGGTCGGAGGCGTATGCGCTCTGGCAATCACTCGGGTTCAGTAATGGACCGCGTTTTGGAAGGGTGGATGACAATATGCTATACCTTGTCCATTCTCTCTGTGCTGGATTGGTCGAGGAGTTCGGAGCTCTTTCCCCAGCCTAGGTGCGTTTGGTAGAGAACGACACTTATTTGCGCGATGGCGACTGCCTGTCTTGACGTGTGCAGGCATTAGAGGTGGATCAAGGACTGAACAAGGAGAGATTGCTTCCCTACCACTGCGACCCCGAGAAGATAGTCGTCGCTCAATGCCATCGACCGCTGCGTCGTTGCGTAGACGCGCATGGCCAGTGAGCTGAGGACCAGGAAAAGACACACGCTTGCGAAGATGATGATCAGCCCGGCATGGTTATGGGCATTATTCTCCGCCAAAGGCGGGGAGATGCCCTTAGGCAAGCTGGTATAGGTCATGAGAATATTACAACCTTAGAAAGAGGAACGCATGAGTAGACGAAGAGGAGGATGCCACGCTGGGGTGGATTCTACGAAGTCGAGCAAGCATCCTCGCGGGAGCCGACCTCAGGGCAAAGTGCCGATACGATTGATGGTAGGTCAGAACCTGCGACTCCCCCTGGTCAGGTCCGCTGGTCCCCTCAAGCGTTCGAAATTCAGGATGCAGCGTGGCTGAACTGTGGCATAGGCTCGAAGTACTCAGTCGATGCATGGATTAGTCTTGGCGGCATCCAAAAGGCAGTTGGCCGAACCCTAAGAAACTAGCACCGGACCGCGATTTAGTGCCGAGGTGGAAAAAAAAAGCGGTGGTAATAGATAAGGGAAGGTCGAGACTAATCTTTAGGTGGAGACTGAGAGACAATTAGGCTAAGCCTATCCCAATTAAGATAAGCATGTTAATCTAGTAGTTTATTGTTGATTAGCGAGTGCAGGGATCAGAAATTGCTCCGCCGGACGGACCGTTGCTAGTTGATATCGAGGCGTGCGCAGGCGAGGTTTTAGTGCCACTAAACTCGTTAGTTCTGCAACGCAGTCCTTTGTCGACCTTAACTTGCGTAACCCCGGTACGGAGAACGGTCTCAGGCAAATTTGCATGGCGCTGGCGTGATTTGCCCCTTTCCCTGATTCCTTGTCCGAATTTCTCCCCCGCAGTCTCCGGTCGTCATTGCTATGAAATTCCTTTGGGTCGTGACCCCCCCCTTTTGCTCCCTTCATGTCTTCTCCATCCTGAGCATTCAAGCAACCTGATACTATGGCCAATCAACAAGATCTGCAACAATACAACATGAAGGAGCCTGTGGTGACCGGCTTCCAGAGCATGGAGGTCAATGAAGCCAACGATGTGGATGAAGTCAAGGGAACACGTTATGATATGACGGAGATGGATCGCATGGGCAAGGCCCAGCAGTTTAAGGTGAGTGCCATCAGCATCACTTGGAATTGTCTATTCTTTGCTAAAGATTGCAACCCATAGAGAAACATCCGTCCGCTGGCAGCGCTCAGTTTCTCTGCTGTTTTGCAAGCCACCTGGGAATATATCTTGCTGTAAGAAATCCATGGCCTCAGCTTTGGGGTTCGTTCGAATTCGTGTTCACAGAGAGACAGGTCCAACTATCAAGGTTTGCAGGATGGCGGGCTGGCAGGGATGCTATGGTCATACGTCTGGAGTACCGTGGGTTTCGGCTTCATCATCGTTTCCCTGGCTGAGATGGCATCGATGTAAGGAATCGGAAAGCCCGAGCTAATAACCTTTCATGATGAGCTAACTATGTGGTTTTTCAGGGCTCCCACGTCTGGCGGCCAGTACCATTGGGTTTCGGAATTCGCACCGGCCAGGTATCAGAAGTTTCTGAGTTATGTGACCGGTTGGATGTCGGTCCTTGCCTGGCAAGCAGGCACGGCCTCCGGTTCCTACTTGACAGGGTCCATCATACAAGGGTTGATCAGCGTCAGAGACCCTAGCTATGACGCTACGGGTTGGCAGGGCACCCTATTTGTCTTTGCCATGATTTTGGTTGCGTATTACTTCAACGTGTACGCCTCGGGACTCATGGCCCGCATGCAGAATGTGCTGCTCGCTACACATGTGCTTTGCTGGGTTGTGATCGTGGTATCGCTTTGGGTCCTGGCTCCCCTGCAGTCGGCTGAAGCGGTCTTCACCAAATTCGAAAATTTTGGCGGATTTTCTTCGATGGGGCTGACGGTGATGGTGGGCCAACTCTCCGCAATCTATGGCTGTCTGAGTAAGTGATTATCGCCTAGAAAGGAAGAAGGCTGGAGACTGATCAACTTCACTAGGTTCGGATGCAACAGCCCACATGTCGGAGGAAATCAAGGACGCCGGTCGTTATGTGCCCATTGCAATCACATGGTCATACTTCGCCAATGCAATCCTGGCGTTGATTGTGCTGATTACCATGCTTTTCGCGACTCCTTCCGTCGAGGATGCCCTGAACGACGAGTCAGGCTATCCTCTGATCTATGTCTTCAAGCAGGCAACTGATACGTCCGGAGTCAATGGCCTGATGGCGATTATCTTGATCCCTGTGATTCTCAGCAACATTCTGTTCAACGCCTCCACCGCTCGGCAAACATTTTCTTTTGCTCGTGATCTTGGACTGCCGTTCTCAAAATGGACTGCTAAGGTGGACGAGAAGCGTAAGCTTCCGGTCAACTCGGTGATCCTGACCTGCGTTTTCAGTGCTCTCTTGGCTTTGATCAACATTGGCTCCGAGACCGCTTTCAATGCCGTGGTATCTCTCAATGTAGCTGCGCTCATGTTCTCCTATTCCATCTCCATGAGCTGTCTGATCTGGCGAAAGCTCTATCACCCGGAGAGCCTGCCGCCTGCTCGCTGGGGGCTTGGCCGCTATGGTTTGGCTGTGAATATCATTGGATTGATATATGTTCTCTTCGCGCTGTTCTGGTCATTCTGGCCGAGTGAGCTTCCTGTTGCGGCTGACAACTTCAACTGGAGTGTGGTGATCTTCGTGGCTATTTTCATCCTGAGTCTGGTCATGTATGTGGTCAAGGGAAGAGGGGAGTATGAGGGACCAGTGACGTTGGTCAAGAAAGGGGGTCATGACCTGTAGGCTATGAAGACGGATTGGTTATAGTTCTTGAAGCCATCTGGGATTAAGATAAAGGAGGCGTGAGAGTTTGTACTGTAGTGTTTAGACCGTTTAGATTGCGAAGCGAGAGTGTTGTTTGTGAGGTTTGTGAGGTTTGTGAGGTGCACAACGATGATGACTCAGCACGTGCATGCTCTGTGCGGGTCGGACAACCGACTGCCCCGCTGCACCGTGGTCTAATCATTCGCTTCTGCGCCTCTCTGATCTCCAAATAATACTTCTTTTTGCCTGGACTCTTATCGCTGTAGATACAGGTCGATGTCGACTGTGCCTACACAATCTCGACGCGTCTCACAACGCCAGCCTCTAGCATGTCGAGGTGAGTAAAAGTGGCTCTCTGTTGCCATGGGCCAGTTCTTTGGACTTCGCGAATAACTCGTGTCTTTAGAATGTACCAAAAGCAAGCGAAAATGCAGCAAGACCATCCCCTGTACCCGATGCAGTCGACTGAGGCTCAGCTGCTCTCGTGAGATTGTGCAGTTGCAGCGAAGCGCAGCGCGACATGGAGCTGAAGTAGACTTCCTCGACTCACTGGTCGGGGATTTGAACTTGCTTCTTGAATCTACATCCGCTACAGCAAAGCTAGAGCTACCACAGATCATATCAAAAGTTCGAAATAGAATTTTTCGGCTTCAAACGGGATTGGAAACTTCACTCGACCCCCAGCCACCTGTGCCCGAACCTCCGCTACCACCCGGACCAAATGAAGCACAGTACCATGCTGAGCCGGTGGAGCCAGCGAGTTCATCATTAGTGACTGCCATCGAGCATCTGGCATGGGGCAGAGACTCTGCCGGATGCTTTCCACATCTGAAATGTGGATGTCAGTATAGCCGACCCGTAGTCTCCAGAGCGAATCCGCGCTCTTCTCAACGTTCATTTGACCTCGGTCTGGATGCTTCCATTGCAGAGAAGCTTATCCGTTTCCACTTATGCCATATGGCTTGGCACCATGACTGCATTCATGCACCCACATTTCTCGAACAGTGTGAGAAGTTCTGGCGTACCGGAGAAATGGATCACGCATTGTGGATGGCTCTTTACCTTTCGGTTCTTGGAGCGACTGTGTTCGCTATGCGCATTAGTAGCCGAGCTAAAGCTGCTGTCAATATCGACTTAGACATGATGCCTCCAGCGGATCAATTCCTGACGGCTATGCTGGAAGCTCTCTATGCCGGTCACTTTCTCGAGGACATGTCGATATATGCGCTGCAGGCGATTGTCATCTCTACTGAGGTTGCCCATAACCTGGGCCGGAGTCAGCTGAACGCCACCCTATTCAAGGCAGCCGTACGTATTGCAGAATATCTGGGGGTGCATCGAATACGAGAGGCGCGCGGAGCATCTCTAGACACCGAGGAGGCGTGGATCGAGACCGTACAGCGTGAAGTGGGAAAGCGCGTGTGGTGTCAGATGCTGATTCAAGATCACTTCGCCATCCCCTTCACCAATACCTATAGCATCTCGCCTTCGCAATACTCTACGGGATCTCCGTTGAACGCGGACGACTACGACCTGACCGACATGCCGCAAACAGTCCCAACGGTGAGTAGCTATGTGCGGGCGCTACGGAAAATTGCAGATCTGATGCCATCACTGATCGATGGGCTGGGGTCGATGGGCCAGCCAAAGCCTCTTCGAGAGCAGTATGCTCATGTCCTACTGCTGGACAAACGAATGCGCTCCGTTGTCAAGGGCTTCCCCCGCTTTCTGTTACAACCCGATGCTGAGAAAGAACTCGAAATTCCTTGGCTAGGGATAGCACGACGCAGTCTCGCGATCACGGCCGCGGAAAAGATCATCATGATCCACCGCCCATTTTTGTTCCTGTCATTCCACTCTTCTTCATATCAGCACACCCGACGAACATGTGTTGCCGCTGCACTGACCATTTTACGCGAGCATGAGACCATCATCAACGAGGGCGACTTCTTCGTCTGGACGCACTCCGCGTTCTGCATCACGGCCGCGATCATCCTCTGCTTCGAGGTCAGCGTCGCCTCGAAGGATAGCACCGGAGGCCCTGAGACCGATAAATTCCGGCTGGCGATTCTGGCCGCACGCAACCGCCTCGCAGACCAGAAGAGCGATATTCTCGCGCAGAGAGGCGTTACCCTCATCGATGCAATTTTTGCCTCGGAGGGGAACCTGGACTTGGATTTCTATCGCGCGGTGGCTGATGTGCTCCGATTTGGCCAGACCACACAAGGGAACTCTAGCAGCAACAGCAGCAGCAGCACCACCACCACCACCACTACATTACCTATGCTCCCCGACATTACCGAACCTTATCGCAGTCCAGGTAACACTGCTACTCCCGACTCTCAGTCGACCTTTGATCCGCACCCGGACAACATGGATTTCGAGACTTGGTTCAACCATATCTTCTACCATCTCAACAGCTCGGCTACATGATTAAATCGTGTAATCTTTTTATTTTCTGGTAATGCACACTCTCCTCACGGACCCGCTACCGCTGACCATGGCGCGACTTGAGTCTCTGAACATGCTGAGGTGGACTTCCTTGCTTTTCATGCTGGAAACCCACGTGCTGGGTTGTCTGGGTAAAGTGAGGCTTGTTGATCTGGCAGGATTGGCTCTAAACGCGGGACGGGGCTGGCTGGCGAAATCTCGCTTTGGGTGCTGCTCCTAAAAAGGCTGTTGGCCCTATATATCTGGTTCAGCCTCTTCCCAGAGACGGAGGGGCTCAGCGGAGCCTGTTACGGTTATTGTCTGGACTGTGCCGGCACAAGGACTTTGTTCGATGGTGGGTGTCATTTACCCAATCACTGTACTTGACTGCCCCAGTGCTTGGAAATAGACTGTGTCTTTAGGTTTTACCTAAAATGATAAGACACGAATGAATGCTTGGAAAGGGGGGCGGGGAAGGGTTGCCGCGAAGAGAGGCGGCATATCTGCCATCCGACGTTGGAAGAACCACTGCGTGCATGTGCTTATGGTATCTTCGAGCTCGATCGAAAACGAAAACCTAATTGATATTGGGTATCGAGTGAAAGAAATCTATATACTAGAAGTAGGTGAATAGCCAATGTAGCCAACTACGTCCAAGAAAAGTATTCCCTGGTCAGATCTGCTACAGTACCAGGGGGGGAAGCTACGGCATCTCTATGATAACCTCATCACCTCCGTCGCGCCACTGCGCCCCCATGCGCCGGATCCGTCGCTCACTAGCTAGAAACAAGAGTAGGTATGTATGTGAGGCAATCTCCCCCCACGCGTAGACTTTGAGCGTCAAGCGCTGCGTTTCTACCGCCGCTGCACCTGGCAGGGAAACGGGGGGTTCGGGGGTCGATTGTTTGGGTTCCTGCAGGGATGTTGGTGGCTGCGCATCCTCGAGAATGCACCATACGCCCCAGCCTGCACGACCCTCCTTGTTGATGAAATCGGACAAAAAAGTCCAGAAGCGGGTGAAGAAGGAGACGTCCCAGGTTGTACTGGTGTTGGTGCTGACGGAATTGCCATCGGGTGCAGTAGGTGATGGCGAGGATTCGGATGGAACGAGAGTTAAGTGGAGGAACCAGTACCCTCGTTCGAGGGGGTCCAGATCTCGCGTTTGTTTGACTGGGGTATACGTTCGTCCTGAGCGGAGACGCGTGGCTAGCATCGCGAGGGTTGGAGTGATGTGGGTTTTGAAGGGTAATCTGGAGACTGGGGGTAATGGCGGGTGGATCTTGAGGGGCGTCGTTACTAGGGCATTCTTCGTAGAGGGCGTGTCGTGGCAAGGGGTATCAAGTGCTGAAGAGAGGTTAGGGACGGATGGGGTGGATTGTGCGTGCTCATGCCACGGTTGATTATAACTTGGTTTGTTTTGGCTTCCGGGCAGGGGTTCGTCATCTCCCTGTTTTTCAGGTATACCAGGCGGACTGACCCGAGTCCGCTTCGCTGGAGGAACGTCCGTTATAGGTGGCGACGATCTGTGAGCGCGTACGGTGGCAGTGACAGGAGAATTGATCTCTTGCAAGGCGAGGATATCCTGCTGAGTTTGTTCGGGTTGCGAGTCTGGAACCACACTAATGGGGGTTCCGAGAGAGTCGGCGACGTGCTGAGTTCGCTGGCCAGGTGAAAAGACCCCGGCCAAGACTGGTATTGTTTCTGGTTGCCGATGGAGTATATGCAAAGAGCCAGTGTTAAGCTCTCGATTATCATCGTCAGCCTCACCACTATTGACGTTCGCGGTCGATCCTACTGCCGCCGATGAGGCGGCCAGTTGTGCGCTGTCGGCGGTGTTCACTTCATCGGTATGGTCATTGTCCGATCGCAAGGTGATCACTTGGCGGGTGGAGGCCTGGAATGCGAGGATGGCCTCGACTTGAGCCCGATAGCGTGCATCGTCACGGACGGTCCCGGGCGCGGAGATGTGAATGAGGACTTCGGAGTCGGGCATGGCATCGGGGAGGCAATGGACGAAATCCCTGCGCGCACATGGTGGATCTCGCTTTGGCTTTCAATCCCTTCCCTAAACCTTCTTGTCCGGTCAAGGTGAAGGGTCTGTGGATGGGAATGAAGCTGAAAGAGAAGGAGGGGCAAAGGTCAAAGGCCGAGCGGAGAAAGAGCTGAGTCTCGCCGCCTGCCCGTCCGGGCCAGATTGTTAGCCTTAGGCCGCTGATCACCTTTCGATAGTTCCGGCGCATGCGCATCTCCAAGTTTCCTTCAAGTTCTCAAAATCCACTCAACTACACTTGGGCAAGATAGACAATCCCGGGATCCAGGACAGCCTGGTCGGTATTGTCTCGGCTTTTGCTTTCGGTCTGGCAGACCACTCAACTAACTCCATTGAGTGACCATCTACCGACGATCGTCATTATTGTTTGCCGATTGTTGAGCCTTGAGCTTTGGAGACTGCCTCAAGGCCACTTCTATCGCTCACAAATCCTATTCAGTGACTGCGTCACATTCGCTGACTGTCATAGAAGGTTTACCTGCCACACATAGTCCATAACTAGTCTATGGGCGCGATCTGCGACCGGAACGTGTTGCTGAATGGTTGCTGGAACAATTACATACGTTGCTACTTGCACTACTCAGTAATCTTCTGAAGAGATTGTCAGAAGCGATGCCGCTCTAAATGCAATTGCGAATCAAAAGTGATTCGAACTATCTGGCCTTCACAAGGCGCCTTGACGATTAGCTTCGATCACCGCACGGTCCGGGATCATTCACGCTTCAGGATGCGAGCATACGTGAACACAACCGGCGCTATTAGAAGGCGCTCGTCTCCTGATCTACCGGATTAATCAAATCGGTCGAAGTTAGCAAGTGACAGATGTGAAAGCACCAGTATTGCGGCAGCCACAGATACGTGACACAACAGCTGCCCCCATTGGTCTGTACGGACAAACCATCCACGAACCAACGATGTACCTGAAAAGGCCGGTAGAGGAGAGTTTGCGGTGGGTGTGGGCTCGACTCGGATCCAATAATGACGCAGCACCGCCGGAGCGTTGGGAATCGTACCATAACAATCAAACAAAGTGTGCGGTTCCTGCCACTAATGGAGCGCAACGGATACTAGCACGGTAGCACCACTTTCGACCGGGGCCACTAGATTGATTAGACTGAGGGCTTTCTTTGCACGGTGGAGCTGATGGGTCTGAACTGATAAAGGTAAACAATTCGGAGTGGAGAAGACACAATGGAAGACTGGGAATATGGAACAGAGTCAAGAATAGTACATGAAAATTACCGGTCAGTCGAAGGAAAGAGAAAGAGGGCAAGAGGGCGCAGCAGAGACTGCGCTCAACAACTGGTCCCAGGCATTATTGGCGACGCGTTGATGTTGCACAGGCGTCCCGGAATTTCTGAGATGTCAAGCCGGCTGCGTCCCCGAGTGACAAGCGAGGCAGGCAGGCAGGCAGGCGTTCCACAGCAGACCACAGGTGGGCGGTAGCACCGGCTCAGGGACGATCGATCCAACCAACCAACAAACCCGACTGCGACGCTGAAAAGAAGAAGATCAATCCAATTGTTACCTATTGACATGACCTAGAAGAGTATCTTTGAAACCGTACTCCGTAACCTACAGGTACTCCTAGAGCTATGGACGCCTTTCATCTTGAAAGCTGAACAATTGCTGGGCCGTTGCGGTCGGTTAGAGATGGTGGTGGCAGCCTCGGCGGGTGTCTGTCTAGCCGCCTATCGACGGTGACCAGTTGCCCGTTTTTTCCCTCTCCTTGGCCGATCGAATCCACTTTCCTGCTCCACTTGGCGTTTTGCTTTTCGTACGATGTACGAATACTGAGCTGCAGGAGAGTTAAAGGAAAGAGTGAATTGAAGCTCTAACCAGATTTAGCAGTCGAATCACAACACTCACAGAACTTGACGGGTGGAAATGCCGAGACACGATCGGATCTGGTGTGCTACGGAGGATTCCTTCGAGTAGACCTATAATGTCAATTGCTATTGCCCGCTGGATTGATCAAATCGGAGGGTAGAAAGTGATGCACAGTTATGTACGGAGTACAAAGTACGAGTATGTACAAAATCAGTTGGCCTGAGCTCCTTAGCTAGTAGTAGCTAGTAACTACCTAGTCCGGTATTATCCTCCATCTTTCTAATGGTCCCCGGCACTTCCCCGACAGAACATGCATGGATTTGAAGAAGGCGTGGGGAACAGCCTAGGTAAAAACTAAGAAGAAAAAGAGCTTATGAGTGAGATCTTTCATATGCCGAGTCCCCCTTTCATCATCAGTCATTCCTTGTTCCTTTTCAAGTCTTGATTGTAGTGAGAACCAATCACTCTGCTTGAGATTCATTTCCGTCCAGTCCAGGCCAGGCCAATTCCAGCTCTGTCACTCTTGCCACTGCTAACTAGTAGTTATCCATCTGATCTCTCCCCTCCCCCTCCTCTCACTCTTTCTCACACTCAAACACAACTCTCACACTCACTCTCTCTCGTTCGCACTCTCCTCCCCCATCCTCTGATTCTTCACATTCGTTCCTCCTTTACCAGTCTTGTGGACAAAAATTGTTTTCCTCACCTCATCTGCCCTTCAGCCATACTGATTGGGTGCTCGTGGTGATTGCTCATCCATACTTCGCAATCCCGGGGATTCACCCAACGGGGAAACACAGCCGACTGTCCATCCATCGGTAGGTACAATCCAATTCTCCATGCGTGGTAGAGTCGGAGCTTTAAACGCTTGGACGACGGCCAGCATCCACCCGCTTCTCAAACCCAACGCCGCGATTTTTAAGGCTGACAACGGTCCAGATGGGCCAGCTTGGAGTTGTCTTAGATTCACACTCGATCTATTCTATCTTTCGGTCGTCCGTCTACTTTCTGACCTGCTACTTTTCTACTTCTCTGCGTCTCTTCTTCCCACCACCGCCCACCCACCTCTATCGACGGTCATTTCCTCGTCCACCGCACACGCACTCCCTCACCATTCTATTCTGACTGCGCCGGTCGCATTTACGCTTCCTCCATTCTTCTTTGCGACAACCACCATGGCCTCGATGAACGGTGGCCCCATGCCATTGGACCTCACAAACGCAAATCGTCAGACACTTCCGCCAGATGGTTCACAGAGTAAGTTCACTCTCCTCTTTCTCTGAGATCATTTTTCCAAGATTTGCCTCTTCTTCGGCTTTTTCTGGGTCCAGATGCTTGATGGTCCGTGACCCGTCTTTCCGTGGTTCGCGCTGTGGAAGTCAGTGTGGCATTGGCTCTGACTCAAAAAGTCTCGACTGTCTTGCACTCATTCCGCTTTTCGTATCCTGACTGTGTCGCGTTATCTCCAGCTAACTTGCGACTCAATAGGCCAACCCGGATCTCGACCTTCTACCATAGGCGCCGATTTCCTCAAGTTCTTTGGTGGTACGCAGAAGAAAGTCACGCGAGGTGTGTGAGCTCACGGTCCGATCCGTTTACCTTATCAGCTCTAATTTCCCCTCCCCGCGCTAGATGGGCAACCGGCAAAACGACGAGGTCCGAAGCCGGATAGCAAACCGGCCATGACCCGACGACAGGAACTGAATCGCCAGGCCCAGAGGTACGTAACCGGACCACCTGGGGTAATCATTGTTTGTATACAAACGGTTGGCGCAGAACACATCGGGAACGTAAGGAACAGTATATCCGATCGCTGGAGACGGAAGTGTCCCGGTTGCGAGAGGCCTACACGCAGGAGATCTCGGCCGCCAATCTAACGGTCGTGCAACATCGGGACATGGTGCAAACGCTCTCCGACGAGAATAATATTCTGAAAGAAATTCTTGTGGCCCACGGTATCAACTTCGAGCCGGAGCTCGAACGTCGCAAGGCGGAACGCGGGAGCATGGGCTATCATTCGAGTCCTTTTGCCAGTAGCAGTGTCGCCTCGCAGCCGAGCAATGTCGTCCCTAACGGAGGTCCCGTCTACACCACGCCGCCCACGACGGTCTCTGCCAGCCTGAGTCCGAGTACGCATGGCGTTGAGCAGATCGATGTGTCGCCCACTCAGGAGCTGGCGCCGCCTCAAGCAGCCTATCAGGCCGCTCCCTGTGACGCCTTGGCCACTCTTGATCAGATCGCTCCCGCCAGCCGCGCCCCGATCCAGCTACCCGGCATCTTCGAGGCGGATCCTCAGCTACAAATTGATTTCATCTTGACGTAAGTGTGTTTTCTTGGTGACGGATCCCATGCGACTGACGTTGATCCAGACTGGAATCGCCCTGTCGAGAACACACCGACTACCTCTGCCGCCGATCGATCACCGAGGCGGACGATGAAGACATGCCGTTCTCAGGGCATGCGCTGATGGCCACCTGTCCACCCCCCAGCTACATCGCCACGACGACGAACGAGCAAACCTACCCACACAAGACGTACGACCTGCCGCACGTCAATTTGACCACGCTCCTCAATCTCAGCCGACAATTGGTGACGGAGGGGCAGATCACGCCGATCATGGCGCTGCAATGCCTCAAAAATCATCAACTCTATGGTCGGCTGACTCGGGAAGACGTCAAAATCATCGTCGAAACCCTCAATACCAAGGTCCGCTGCTATGGTTTTGGGGCCGTTGTGGAAGACTTTGAGCTTATGGATTGCCTGACCAGTGTGCTGGATACGAAAGCCGAGCAGCATGTTTGCAATCCGGGCGATGATCTATCCTAGTCATGGTTGGCACTGATGAGGAAAAGTACTAGCGGAGCCCCAGGTTTTCTCTTTTCCACCTCTCTTGTTTTCCTTTTCCCCTTTACCTTCCTTCCAACGACATTGTACATAATCCGTGGTGATCCGTCAGGATTTCTGTTTCTGTGCCGTTTGACGCCGGCCTGACTTGCGCCTGGCCTCGCCATCCCGTGGTCTCGTCCCACCTCTCTGTTTCTGTCGGCGGGTGGCTGCGTAATGGGAGCTGCTGTGTTCGAACTCAGCTCGCACCACCACGCCCTGTACAACCAACTGTGCAACACTGAAGATGTCCTGTAACGCAATGTGATGATGACTACTAGATATATGCAATATCTTCTATTTTCTCTGGGCAGACTGACCACCGCTTCTATCAATCCAGGACCACCACACCGTCTTCTAATCCCGGACCCATCCCCAACTCCACTCCTTGAGCAATGCCCCCCAAGGGATCCCCTTTCCGAATTCTTCGGATGACTTCCTCTACTGTCGCACCCGTTCCCCATCTCAACGCCGCATACACCACCTCCAGCTCGGCCAACTGATCCTCCTCTTTGCGTGACGGGGCCCCGGTTCCGATCTCGTTCTCGATCGAGGCGTATTGTTCTTCCTGCTCGCTGTCTGACTCTGGGGATGGCTGCTGATCCTCAATCTCCAAGATCTCGAGCCCCCGCGCCATGCCCAGCTGACCGCGTAATTGGTTCGCCCGGCTTCGGAGCCCCGCGATCAGCTCGGCTTGAGCAATGGCTTGACGATCGGTATCTGGGGCGGCGTACTTGCATTCTTGCGGAGTGTTGCGTGCCACGCATGTGGCGCAGGGGGTGAGGCGGTTGCACTGGGGTTGTTAATGTTAGGTCTATAAGGTGCGATTGTCTTTGGGGAGAGTGGTTCCCGATGGTGAAGCTGGGAGAAAGTTTTGGGGATTCTATGCTGTTCGATGAAGCTACAGGGGCATGCATGTACTGATAGGTTGAATGAAGACTGATAGACTGATAGACCTGGGGTCTTTAAAGGTAGGTGGGTGGATTCGGTTTATCTTTGGGGAGGGGAAGGAATTAAGTTGGATAAATGGTAATGATACTTATATATCTGATAAAGCAAATAGGGGAAAGGGGGAAGGAACGGAAGAGAGAGAGACATACTTTCACTTTACGGGCACGACAGGGAAGACAGGAGGCTGTGGGACGAGGCTTGGACCGATGGGAGATTTGTTCAGGCATTGTGTTTTGTTCGAAGATGACTAGGTGGTATCACTAGACTCTAGGGGGAGGGGAAGGAAGAAGTGAATGAATTGACTTTAAATTGAGGAAACAGAGTAAAGAAGAGGAAAGTTCAAGCTGGCTGTAGATCTTTTGGAGGGATGATTATTTTGCTGGACTGAAGGCGGGGAAAGAGAAAGAAAGAAAGAGCTTTGGGAGCATTAGCGCGATGACTAACAGGGCTAGACTCTCTTACACTCACTCCCACATCCTCTCATCTCTCATCAGCTTCATACTCTTCTTTCTGATTTTTGGATTTCCCTTTTCCCTTGGCAAAACTCTCGAGCTACACACACGTTCCCATTGCGGTTTCGAATCTTTTATACTCCGGTCTTGGCCCAGGGCTGAATGAAAAAAAAGCTGCATTCCCTCTTTCTGGGGAAGATCTCCCCGACAATCAGCAGTCTCGGGTAGATCTACCAGGGGTCCGGAGATTGCTACCACTACTACACTACTACTACTACTCTGGCAATCTAAACTATCTATCCTCCTATCCTCCTATCATCCGCTACTTCTTTCACTCAATTCATCTCAGCTTCACACCTCCTTTGCTTATTTTCTTGCTCAAATTTAAGCTCACAGCATGCGAATGCTACCCCTCCTTTCCCCTGCACCATGGCATTCCCTCCACTATCCCACTATCCCACTATCCCTTGAAACAGAAGAGCATTCCTCCCTGTTGTCTACCTTGCGTCCAAGCCAGGCACCTCCTTGATTGACAGTCCCATTTATATCCCCATGTGCTCCAACTTCTGCCCAGAACGTGTCGGCTGTTCTACATGCAGCACATGCAGTGAGGCCGCACGCACGTACACTCGCCCACCATGAAGAAGTCCCGGACCTCCAGAAAACAAGCGCCTGTCTTTCGGCGTCGCAGTACTCGCAAGAAGACTCCATCCCCACCGCAATCACCGCTACCAGCACAGAGACCCCGCGTGCTATTTCTTGCCAACAGTGAACATGGGCAGACGAACCTGATTCTCGCATTATCCCATGAATTGCTGGTGCGAGGTGACACCGACGTGCATATCGCCTCGTTTCCGACCTTGAAACCACGCATCGAGAAGCTGCTTGTAGATAACAGCCTCGACAGCGACGGAGTTCGCTCGCGCATTCATTTTCACCCTCTCAATGGCCCCTCGAACAGTGAGGCTTTTGCACGCACAGGAAAACGTACGATCTGCCATCCTCCCGGTTATAAAGGCGCATTGAAGGGGTTCAAATCTCTTTTTGAGGAAATCTGGGCCTGGAATGAGGAAGAGTATCTGCAGGTGTATGACAGCTGTCTTGAGATAGTCCAGGCTATCGAACCGAGCGTTGTCCTCGTCGACTGCTTTTTCCCCCAGGGACGAGACGCGGCGTATAATGCGGGCCACCAGGCTATTGTTCTTTATACGACCTCCTTGTCCCATGTGGTGTATGGGCTCCAGCCTTTTGCTGGATGGGCGTGGAAATTTCCCTTGTAATTCGCTATGCTTTCCCAATGAACTAACGCATATGGCTGACTGTGCACTAGGCCAGGGACTGACTTTCCATATCCACTTCCCTGGAGCCTTGTGCCTTCCAACACCAGAGCCGCCATGGATGTTGCCAAGCTTTACCGCCGTAGCGGCCGTCAACGACAGATTCGTGAATGGCGGAAGCGGCATGGTATCCAGGGCCGATTCCCTTTTGCGGATTCGTGGCGACCCGACCGATTCCATCTGGCTCCAGGTCTGAAAGAGCTGGATTGGCCGATGGAGGTCCCAGAGAATGTTCTCCCCTGTGGTCCCATCCTATTGCCCGTTGCACCTGTCAAGGTGCAGGATCCGGAGCTGCATCGGTGGCTCCACCAGGCACCCACAATCCTGATCAACCTGGGGACCTTGTATGCGCCAGATCCAGTGATGGCTAGAAATATTGCTTCAGGGGTGAGGAGTTTTCTGGACTCACGGACGGATAAGTTCCAAGTACTGTGGAAGCTTCCAAAACATACGCAGGATTGCGCGCATGTTTTTGAAGAGGCGGAAGAAATACTGGCTGCTGAGATCAAAGATGACCGGGTGCGCATTCAACCATGGTTTCAGGTTGAACCATTGGCAATGTTGCAGACAGGGCAGATTGTCTGTTCCGTGCATCATGGTGGTGCGAACTCATGGTACGAGGCTATTCAGTAAGTTTCACTCCTTGACTCAGCGGAGTAGAGATAGTAATACGTTCCAGGTCTGGCATACCTCACGTCGTTCTTCCAGGTTGGCAAGACTGCTATGAAAATGCTGTGCGTACAGAGTGGCTCAAAATCGGCGTCTACGCGAACAAAACAGCTGCTCCAGCAGTGGATGCAGATGAGCTCGGCCGGGCTCTGATCAGGGTTGTTGGCAATGTCACAATGCAGGCCAAGGCAAAAGAACTATCTGTACTGTGCTGCAAAAGAGAAGGACGAGTGATAGGTGCCGAGAAGATCGCTGAGTTGGCATACCACCCGGAGAGAATGGCTTTACCGATCCCAGAAGTCAATCAGCATCCGAAGGACAAGCTGCGCACGATCAGGAATAAGTTCGGAGGTATTCTAGAGACCGTCAATCCACCTCGTTTGGACAAATATGCAACCTTAAAGTGGGTTTCCTCTCCCTGCATCGGTTTCAAAATGCATATCAAGTGTTCACGATTTCTAACCAGAGAACCAGAGTTTATACTGCTGCCAGCACACTCTTCGTCGCCCTTACGACGAATACTTCCATCCTCCTTCCTATCCTCGGCTACGCTCTTCTAATCCTCGTCCTTCTCCCATCTCTTCCCATTCCACTCCTCGTTCGCATTTTGTATCCTGTCTACGTCCTCCTGATCACCTATCTACCTCCCACCTCTCTCCCCTCTTTTCCTTCCCCGTCCTCCGCCGTTCGAAACTCTCCTCTTTGGTCCCTCTACACCAACTATTTCCCTCTCAAGCTTTATCGCAGCACTCCCTTAGCTCCTTATCAAAAGTACATATTCGGGTACCACCCCCACGGCATTTCCATCCGCGGTGCCATCGGCGCCCTCGCCACCAAAGGCGCCGGATTCGACACGCTGTTTCCCGGTCTCAATCACACTCTCCTGGTGTCGGACAAAGTCCTTCGCGCCCCCCTGCTGCGCGAGTACGCCCTCTCTTTGGGTATCGGCAGCGTCAGTCGTGCGTCATGCATTAAGCTACTCTCGTCCGGCGGCCACGACGGCAACGGACTGGGGCAGGCGATCACCATCTGCGTGGGTGGCGATCGCGAGGCGCGCATCGCCCGTCCCGGCCGCATGGATTTGGTGTTGGGGGTGCGCAGGGGGTTCATTCGCGTTGCGATCGAGATGGGCGCGAGCCTAGTGCCGGTGGTGGCGTTTGGAGAGAACGAGGTCTTTGACGTCGCGTATCCCGGAGATGATGATGCAAACAGGAGTGAGGCAACTTCGAGCCACTGGGAGCGTGAAGGCCAGAAGCAGCAAGACTTTGGCCGGGAAGGCCTGTTCACGGCAGGTGCGAAAGCCTGGAAGGCTATCACCGGCAAGTCGACGCGGGTGATTAGCGGACGGTGGGGGGTGACGGTCCCGTTCCGCAAGCCGATCCATGTGGTCGTTGGAAAACCGATTCCGGTCAAGGAGCAGCGGTATGTGCAGGACGAGGCTTATGTGGAGGAAGTGCATCGGATGTACGTGGAAGAGTTGCGGCGGTTGTGGGTGGAGTGGAGGGATGTCTTTGGGGTGAAGAAGGAGGTGCGGTTTGAGATTGTGCAGTGAGACGTTAAGTGGTGCTTGGGCGTCTTCTCTTTGGCGTATCATTCTAAGTAGGGTTCGGGAAAATGAATGACAAAAAGTTATATAGCTGTGATAGGCTTGATAACGTTGAATATGCCATACATCCTTATCTCGTGCTTGTTTACGTAGGGCAAATGCAACAATAGATTGAGCCGATGTACGAGACAGAGTTCGTCTACAGGGTGAAATTACCAAGTGAGGAAGTAGGTTTGGAAAGCATGAGAGTCGTTCATAAACCTAAGAACTTTTTGACATGGACAGGACGGAAAAGAAACACAGCGAACCAAGTTCATGACTAGGATATAATGATGGAGGTGGAAAACCGCCCAAAATCTACTCCTCATCCTCCTCGGCGGCCTCCTGCTCCTCGGCGGCGACCTCCTCATCCTCCTCGAAGGTGGTGGGGGGCACGCTGTAGAGACGGAGGACGGGGCGGTTGGGGTCCTTGATGAGGACGTACTTCTTGACCTTGTCGTCGTCCTCATCGGCGTCGAGGGTGCGGATGCGGTCGACGATGGTGCGGACGATGCCCCAGCCGTTGCCGAGGTTGAGGTTCATCTGGGTGGCGAGGTCGCGGGGCTTGTAGCCGACCACTCCCAAAACGACGTGGGCGGCGGCGGAGCGGGGGTTGGCGCGGGAGACGAAGCCGAGCTTCATGGCGTCGGCCTTGGCGAGGATGGCCTGGGTGGTCCAGCGGGCGAGCTTGGAGGAGTTGTTCTTCATCTCGGTGGCGACGACGGCACCGCGCTGGGACCAGAGCTTGGAGCGCCAGTCGAGGGCGCCGCCGGAGCCCTGGGCCTTGCTGTCGAACTCGTTCAGGGCCTTGACGACCAGCTGCTGGTCCTCGCCGCCGGTGGGGTTCTTCATGATGGCGTCGATCTCCGTGCGCACGATCATGTGCACGGGCTCCTGGCCCTCGTCGCGCTCCAGCGACAGGTCGAAGCGCCGGTACTTGTAGCCCTTGGAGGCCAGGGGCTCGGTCTCCTCCGCGGCGTTGTAGAAGGGGTTGGGGTGCGCCAGCTCGACCTTGCTGTCCTCGGACTCGACCACCGTCTGCAGCGCGAAGTTGTGGTTGATGAAGGTGGCCTCGAGCGCCAGGGCGCTGGGCGTGTTGATGGCGGCGCCCTCCTGCTTGCTGGCGGCGGCGGCGGTGGCGGCGGACGAGTCGGCCAGCTCCAGCGGGGCGTCGGCGGCGTTCTCGTTGACCGTCACCAGGTCCAGGGAGGCGCCCTCGCGCTTGTCGAAGTAGATCTTGCCGCCCTGGTGGACGATGACCAGGTCCCACGAGTAGACGCTGCGGGGCGCGCACATCAGCGTGGACAGGATGTCGGCGGACGCGAACACCGTCGCCTCGTTCTTCTCGGCCAGCTCCTGGATGACGGGGTCCTGCGAGGTCGTGACGTTGTACGCGGCGCGGTCCAGCGCCTGCAGCCGGCGCTCCGCGTTCTTGACCGGCGCCTTGTCGTACGACCGGTCGTAGTAGTACATGAATCCGTACGAGTCGACCTCCTCGCCCTCGGGCGCCTCCATGTTCAGCTTCGACAGCCGGCTGAAGTCCACCTCCTCCAGCATCGTCCAGTCGGGCCGCACGGCCACCGACGCCTCGCGCGTGCGCTGCGGCTTGTCGTAGTCCTTCCACCCGAAGCGACGGCCCCGGTTGCCCCGACCGCCGCTGCGGTTGTCGTAGTACCGGTCCCCGCCGGCGCCCCCGCGGCCACCGGCACCACCGCCACCCACGCGCTGGAAGCCCGCGCGTCCGCCACGCTGGGCGCCGCCGCGCTGGGCCCGGCCGCGGAACACCGTGCCGCCGCCGCGGCCGAAGGTGCGCTTCGTCGAGCTGCGGGTGTTGTCGACCACGGAGAAGGAGGATTCGTCTTCGGCGACCGCCACGGAGAACAGGCTGGAGGATCCGGCGCCGTAGACTTGCTGGTCTGGAGGGTTTGATGTTTGTTAGTTTTATGATATTCAGGAATGTCCCCTTTTCTTTGTCTTCTTTTTTTTTCGTCGTTGAAACACAGCCAGGAGGAATCGTGCAACGTACCTCTGAAGTTACGGTTGTAAGCCTGACGACCGGCCCGGTTGGGGTCCTTGGACTCGGCCGTCCAGTCGGCCATGCGGCCCAGCTTGTCACCCTTGGAGAAAGGAGCATAGGGGACGCCGTCGAGCATGTTGTCGGCGGCGGAGGCGGGGCCCCAGGTGTCGTCGGCCGGCAGGGCGGCGACGATGTCGGCGATGGAAATGGGAGCCATGATTATGTGTATAGCTCTGTGTATGGGGGGAAGTTGAAGGGAAAGATGACGGGGAAAAAAAGACGACCCAGCGAGATAGGAGAGGTGGTCTGGGGGAGGGGCTGGTCGGTCAACGGATATTGAAATGAGATCGACTTTGCCAATTCGAGGGAATTTTTGTGTCGCGAGCTTGTGGCTGGTGGAGGCTTGGCATGTGGCTGTGGTGGGTCGCACCGCCACTGAACATTTGTGTACATTGTGGATGTGTGCTGCTGAGTCATTGATGCGAGCATAACTTATCGGGCTGCCTATCGCTATCAGTGTTGTGTTGTGCCCACAATGTTTGGCAGGCTTGCACATTCTGTTAATGCTTCCATGCTGTCTCTCAACATGACTGCACTGCTATTTGTCATGGTCTAACAGCTTACTACTTTATCTATATGAATATGAATAATTATAAGCCCAAGCATTTGAGTTGAAGTTCGGAGCTGATAATGATGCAGATCATTCTCCTGGGATCTTCGCGGAGTCAAGATGCGTCCGCCAAACCTAGTGGAGTTGGGATGATGCGTGGCAATGTCCGAAATGCTCAATGATCGACTATCAAGTTCATTGGATCGACAAAATCGCTGTCTATTTACCTCAATATCCCTGTGATGCGCGAGGCTGCTAGGTACTTTCTGGAGCTGCAGCTAAGTCAACTATTGTGTGAGCGCATCCGAAATCGGTGCCACACCATCAAACAAGGTCGATCTTTTGCCCAGCGAAGACCATCGATACTTATCAATTCAATTCTGCCACGGGCACCTCACAAGTATCACAGATCTAGGTCCACAGCAGCGCTCACACGCATCGTTATCATGCTCCCCGATGTTCAGCTACTGTGGGTCGCCCGCTGATTTGGTACCAGAACAGCACCCAGACCGGGTGGCTGATAAGACAGGGGCGGATGACAGGCCCGAGGCCACATGCCTCAATTTTGAGATTGCCTTGCATCTTTCCTTCGGGGTACCTGCAGCATGGCCATCTCTGCCAGGTTTCGACTTCCATCCTGAATCGACTGTGAATATCGCGTTGCCACCACTGCAATGGCCGGCATCCGTCCCAGCCGGTTGTTCTTTGCATGGAGAACTGGCTGAGGACTGGATTTTGAGACTTCTTCCATCCGGATGTCCGACTGCGATAACGGAGGATACTGTCTAGTAATTCATAGAGATGCTGTATACGTTCATGGTAGTTGCCCCAAATCGCAGTCTCCTCTGAAGATAAATAGCACATTCCACCCCAGCTGAACAACACTCCAACACAATCAAATCACAAACCTCTCTCATAACCACACAACCGCAATAATAACCGCAAACATGAAGCTCACCCTCACCGTCTCTATCCTAACCATTGCCGGCCTCGTCGCCGCCGTGCCCGCCCCCAAACCTGACTCGCAGACCCTTGAGAACCAAGTCAAGGGCGTCGCCGCTCAGACCACCTCTACCACGAGCGAGAGCACGGTCGACCAGTCGCAGTGCATCGCCCCGGTGCTGTGCTGCGGCACCTTGACCACTCCCTTGGACCCGCTCCTGGACCCCATCCTTGCGGATCTGGACATCAACGCTAGCAGTATTGTCGGCTCCGTTGGTCTTCTCTGTACGTCCGTTTCCTTGGTGGTTTGTCATTGTTGATGCTAACCCTATGGTTATAGGCAAGCCCTACGACACCACCTGCACAACGAAGCCGCAGTGCTGCTCCGAGGTGAACCTCTTGGTGAGTCACCCCTAAACATCACGCCTCAGTGGAAAGGTATACTAACAAAAAGCAGAACGGCGTTTTGGCACTGGGCTGCTCTGCTCTGGAGCAATAGTATCCATTCCGACCAGGAGTCCGCAGGATACATGCTATATTCAAATAATACCGGGGGATGCATACCCCAACACCTGTTCTTTAGTATAATAGCCAATACTATATACCTTAATCAACCCTCACCCGTGCCCCTTCAACCACCCCACTATAGAACTAATAAGACAACCCGACCAACACCCCCGAATGACTCTTCTCAAAAGGATACGCCCCCTCCACCTCCCTCACCAACGCTGCATGGGCCTCACTCCTCGCCTCGATCCTCAACCCCGCCGGCACGACAGGATGACTGATCACCCCCGGCAGGAACTCAGGCGTCCAGTCGGGGTTTCCGTTGGGCTCCTGGATCCGGAATACCGTTAGTGCCTGCGCAATCGTCAGGTAGACGTTCGCATCCGCCAGGGTCCGTCCGGGGCAGACTCTACGCCCGAAACCGAAGACCAGGAGGTGGGGGTCTCGTTGGACGCCAGAACCGCCACCACCGCCTTCATCGCCATCACCAGCTCCGGGTGCAGCAGCAGCAGCAGCAGCAGCAGCAGCAGCATCAGGCAGGAACCGCTCGGGCCTAAACGCCTCCGGATCAGGATACACATCCGGATCATGGGTGAATGCCCTACCCGACAAAAAGTCAGCATACCATTTTATCAAGTCCCAAAAACACCACCCCTCGCCCCGACCAACTCAAAAACCTGGACAAAGCAAAGGGGGGAAAGGCAGAACAAACCAAATATTTGCCAAAACCGACGCTCCTTTCGGAATCCGAAACCCCTTATACTCATCCTCCTGCGTCACCACGTGCGAAATATCCATCGGCACGACGGGGTGCCACCGGAAGACCTCCTTGATGAGGGCGTTAAGGTAGGGCAGGTTCTCGCGGTCCGCGAAGGTGGGCAGCCGCAGCCGCTCCGCTGCCCCGAGGACCGAGTCGAGTTCGGCCTGGGCGTTGCGCTGCACGTCCGGGAAGAGGGCCATGGCGAGGAAGAAGGTGGCAATTGAGGAGACGGTCTATCCCACCCTTTCGTCAGTTTTCTGGATTGGTAGGTTTTGGAGAGGGGGGATTGACAATACCGTATCCGCTCCACCAGCATACAACGACGCGGCCGACCATTTGACGGTGACCTCGGCCTCGGAGCCGGGTGGCAGCGCGGGCTGGTGCGCCAGCAAATTGGACAGGAAGGACGGCGTGTGACGGCCGCTGGCGTGGTGCATCTGGTGCCGCACGAAGGCGTAGGGGAGGTCGCTGAAGGCCGTGACGGTTTGCTTGTACCCGCGCGCCGTGCGGATGAAGCTGCCGCCGGGGAGCCAGGGGGGGAGGTGTCTCACTACCCCTCCCACAGTTGATCAGAACACAACCCAGACCAAGCCATCATCGTTAGAGGGGGAAGATGAGACATACAGAATGGGATATAATCCACCAAATACGTTGCCGGCAACATCGCCACCGAGAAATCCTCCATGGCTCGATCGGCCAATTCGACCAGCGGGTCCCGGCCGTGCGGCTCGACCGTGTACCCGTATCCGATCTTGAGGATGATGGCGCCGGTTTCTCTGAAGGCCGAGCATTAGGTCTGTCTTCTTTTTCCCTTGATCTGGTAGGGATTTGCAAAAGCGATAGCCCACAGAAAGACTGGAAAGAGGGAGGAGAGGGGGAGGGGGGTGCTAACTTGCGAATATGCTCCATCAACCGCCCCGGCGCCTCCAACACGCGCATCAGAAACCGGCCCACCTCCGCGGTCTGCACCGCATCGAACCGGGCCACCGATTTGTTCGACCCGATCTCGCGGTGGAGGTTCTTGCGGGTCGCGCGGAGGCGGTCGGTGCTTTTCACGGAGCCGAGCACGTTGTGCCATCCGGACCTGGGTTTGTTGCTTGTCAGCTCGATAAATTCGGGGAAAGGGTTTGGGTTAAGACTGCAAGCGGGAGGGAAAATGCTCACATCTCGGCGAAATTCTGCTGCGGGCGGGAGGAGTAGATCGCCGAGCGCTTTTCCAGTAGCTCGACTGCATGGCGGGCCTCGTTGAGGATGATGATGGTTTGGCCGAGGACGCTGAGGGAGCTGATGGGGCCTTGTTTGTTTTCTTGTGAGCGGGGCAGGCTTGTGAGCCGGGAGTAAACATAAACATACCGTAGAGCTCCTTGTGTTTAAGCCAGTGTTTCCAGTCCTGTTGGCCGGGGCGAGGGAGGTCGTTTAGATTGCCGATGATGGGTCGACGGGGAGGCCCTGGAGGCAGAGGCGGGTGCTTTTTGCGCGAGGTTAGGGTTGTCGTCAGGTAGCAGCCCGCTAGGAGGAGGAGGGCGGCGAGGAGAGCGGAGAACATGCTGTGGGTTGGTCAGATTGAGGGGTGTTTGACTGAGTTCATGGCTATGCTAGGGGAAGGGTTTCTTATATCATATCATTCATGTGAAATCATTGAAAGAGGGGGCTCTGCAGCTGAGAACTTATTGCAGACTGAACCCTCCGACCGGTGGGAGTGATTGGTGTGCAGAGCATAATCGTGCATGAGGGTTACCAGGATGTGCGGTCCGGATGAGGAATATCATCGACGGCTGCATAGATTAAGGCCGGTGCTGCGCAATATGATTGGCTTTGGGGGGACAGGCTGCTGTATAGACGTAGTAAATGGACTGAGTAATGTGAAAAGCATTGACGGTGAAGGGTAAATCTCTCGTTCCACTACTTCCTAACTTGAAGATAAGCAATGGGCCTCATTCTCGGAAGATACTTCCAGTCCAGCCTTGGCATCCATCCCCCTCAGGGCCTACTCTCCCCATCTTCCTGAATTCAACGACCAAATCCCAATCACAAATACTCCCCGAACCACGCAACCGCCTGCTGAAACGCCTGCTCCTTCGCGAACCTCACCCGCCGCACCGTGGGATCCCCGCGCACCGCAAACCCATGCTCCACATCGGAGTACACACTAATCTGCCAGGGCTGATCCTTCTTACCCAGGATCTCCTCACTCTCGCGTCGCTTCTCCGCGGAGAAGATCGGATCATGTTCTACCCAGGAAAACACCGTTAGCAAATCTCTCCCCACCGCCCCCCAATACAACTTCTGAAAACAGCAAGAAAGAAGACTCACGCGCAGCAGCAACACAAAACGGCCCCTCCACCCCCGCCAACTCCTCAGCCGTCATCATCGTCGGATGCGCCGAATACCCCACATCCAACCCGCCGTCCACCTTCAAAAACCGGGCCACATACTTCCCCCCGAAGCAATACCCGACGCCGCCGACCCGCTCACACCCCAGCGTGGACCGGATGTATTTAAGGGCCGTGTTAATGATGGGATCGGTGTGCGCCGGCTGGTGGCCCTTCGCCCACTCCATGATTTGGAAGCCCTCGGGCCGGTTTAGGGGGACGCTGTCGCCGGTGAAGAGGTCGGGCATGACGACGACATATCCGGCGGCGGCGAATTGGTCGGCGAGGAGCTGGGCGTTGAGGAAGCGGTGGCCGATTACGTCGGTCAGCAGGAGGATTGCTTTTTTGGTTGCGGTTTGGGTGGAGGTTGAGGGGTGGGTGATGTAGGTTGAGACTGTTGGGGGTTTAATAAAGGACTTTTTTTTCCTCTTTTCTTTTATTCTCTCTTGTGTTTTGTTTTTTGTTTTTTGGTGAAGAGCAGGGGCTTACTGTTCTCGATGTCTTGGATTGTACCCTTGGGTTCGCCTTCGTGGAGGGTACCCGTTATGCAGCATGTTGAGAGGTTGTTGGAGGTCATCTTGGGGGTCTTGGAGATTGGTAAGAGTAAGTTGATGTTGGTGCTGAGGTTTAGGGAGGAATTGAGGAGGCGATGGGGATATAAGTACTGTACGACAGCAAAGTCGAAGAGGGGCAGGTGGCAGATGATTCCCTGTTACCTCCGAAGCAACAAAATCCTATGTCCGGATTTGGAGATTAGCGGCGTGGTTTAGCGCCCGGCAGGACGGACATAACAACTTCCATTCGCATGGAGATAAGAAGCTTTGCTTGGAAAGTCTTACTCTATCCCTATGTAGCGTAGTCTATGAGGCCGTCAGCGCTAGGCTGGGAGTCTGACATGTGTATCGTTTGCGGTTAGTCCCGCGATGGCCAGCTGCACGCCGTGGGTGCAGTGGGGCGGTGGCTTGCGTTTCTTCGAGCTGTACGGAGATTCGCGACATCTCTTACACCCAACTTGAGTGGAAGGTCAGGGGATTAGAGGCTCGTTCCTACAACCTCAGGAAGCAAGAAACAATATCTTCAATGACATTTGACAGGGATTAGAACATGCTATATACTATGAAATCCAAAGCCACCCAACATGTACACATTATCATCAAGAAAAGACGCAATCGGCGGCTCCACCAACCCCGACAGGCCATCTCCTCACTGGTAGAGATTCGGGGACGCAGCCTTGATCAAATCCGCACCCTACAGCAATCAGCACCCGGTTCACGATTCCGAAGAGGGTCATTACTCACCTTCTCTCCAATCATATACACCGCATTCTGGATGCGACAATCCGGAATAATCGGGATGATAGATGCATCGATCACGCGAAGCCGTTTGACGCCATGCACACGCAATTCCGAGTCCACCACACCCTGCTCAATGGACCGGGAAAGCCGGGCTGTACCACAGGGGTCTATCAACGCATTAGCCAGGGGTTTACTCCATCAGAGGAAAGAGGACTCACGATATCCAGTCTGCGAGTGCTCGAGGATCATCTTCTTCATCGCCTCGTCCGAGTGTCGCGGCATAGGCCAGGGGTAGTCCTCCCGGATCACGTCCTTCATGCCCTCGCCGTGCATCAGGATCTCGTCCACGAACCGGACACCTTCTTGCAGCGCGATGATGTCGAGATCGTTCGAGAAGAAGTTCAGGTTGATGTTCGGCTGGTCGCGAGGGTCGGCGGAGTTCAGCTTCACCTCGCCGTTGCGGGAGAGTGGGCGGAGAAGATCGACGATGACCGTCAACCAGTCACCCTCCGTGGGCACGGGGAAGTGCCATTGAAAGGCATCGGAGAACATGGGCTTTGTCATGGTTAGATGATCGTCTTCACAAGCCTTATTTCCAGTAAGCGTACGTACCACAAAGTCGATCTCGAAATGCGGCTGTCCCTCCGGACCGAACGGGTCCTTGCCACCGTTCTGCGCCTTCGCCTCCCGATACTCCTTGTATCTCTCTAGACGGTCATCAATGCGAGGCAGGCCCACCAGCTCCAGCAGCCCGCTGCTGTAGGGCCCCTGCCTGCTCTCCCGGTACTTCTGCACGGCGGCGGTGTGCGCCGGCCCAGCACGGAGCAGATGGCTATCCAGCCCCATGCCCTCCTTCAGCCGGAACACATGCGGCATGATCGGGTGGTCGAGGAGGTTCTGGCCCACGTGCTCCGAGTGAACCACGGGCTCGATGCCGTGGCGCACGAGCTCCTTCTTGGGCCCAATGCCCGACAGCATCAGCAGCTTGGGGGTCTCGAAGACGCCGCACGCGACGATGACTTCCCGCTTGGCCTCGATGATGACCTCTTCCGACCCGTCCGGCCCCAGCACGGTGACGCTCACGGCGGTGTCACCGTCGAAGTTGATCTTCTTGGCGATGCACGAGGGCATGATCACCACGTTGGTCTTGCCGGTCAGGTACGCGCCGCTGGACGATCGCTCGCCCCGGTAGATGCTGGTGACGCAGTGCGTGAGCCCCTCCATCTTGCCGGAGTAGATGTCCTCGCTGACGGGCTGGCCCGCGCCGGTCCAGGCCGCGGTGAGTGCGTCGCGGAAGGGCCGCAGCTCGGGGACTAGGTCCGCGTGCGAGACGTGCACCGGTCCGTCGCGACCGATCTTGGCCAGCTCGTTGGGATATAGGTTGTCGTCGTCGTGGTATGTCGCTGGCTGTGTTCCCTCAGAATGGTTAGTACCGAATCATGTCTGTTGCACACATCATATGTATTGTTGAGGATGGACTCCGCACCTTGCTGAAATACTCCTTGCACCCGTCCCATGTCCAAGACGGACCTCCGTACTCAGACCACGCGTCAAAGGTACCCTTACTACCCGGGATCCAGGTGTAGTAGTTCAAGCAGCTACTACCTCCGAGGACTTTTCCACGGGTGTTGGGCTTCTCAGCGCGCTCGTAGGAAGGCCTGTTGATCATGGTAGTCTTGTAAGCCCAGTCATGCTTGCTGCCGCGCAGGTCAAAGGCGGTCGCTGGGGTGGTGATGTTCTCGATGTCCTGAGGATTTCTATCGTCTCGTTTGCTTGAGTCAGGTGTTCTGGTCATACTGTGCTTGGAGGGTCGGTCACATACGCGATACCCGCTTCGATGACCAAGACCCGGACTTTGGGGTTCTCGGCCAGGCGACCGGCCACCACATTACCAGCAGTACCTCCTGGTGGGATGTCAGAGAAATACGTGTCAACAAAGGAAGATGCGAATAAGACGTACCGCCGACAACCACAAAATCGAAGCTATCCGCGCTAGGAACCGTCATTATGCTCGATGCAGGGGAATTGAGATGCGATTAGTTATTAAGGACGGAAAGAGCTGATCTATTGCTCCTTTGCAAACTCAACAGCCAACGCTGTCTCTATATAGCGACCGTCCGTCAAGCCCACGAAGCCCATCGCAAACACCAGAATGCCATCGCCATGACGTATGGGAAGATGATCCACCTGCCAGCCGTTTCGCCCGCCCCACTCGGCAGGTGCCAAGATTTTTCTACTCGTGTCCTGACGAACAGGGCTGGAGCTTTTCAGGGGATGGAGTCAAATGCCGAGTTCTCTCCAAGAAATAAGTCTCCGAAGTGGCGGCAACGCGCCGTTGACGGGCTGCGAAGTTGCGCCCCACGATTGAAGGCACGGGGCAGAATAAGGCCGCGTTATCAGGAGGGTTTGGATCGTCGGAAGGGTCGGAAACACAATTGCTTGTTTGGCACCGTTGCGGCGGCTATTTATAATCAACCAATAAAAGACGGCCATCAAGACTTTAGACATCATCATCACGTTCCCCCCTACTCTGTAAATTCGGTGAAAAATGTTGACGTTGGTCGATTGCGGGGTGGGGATCAGTCGACGCGAGCAATCGCCGAGGCTCAGCCGGGTGAAACCTGGAAAAAACAAGCTTTATCATAGCAAAGGTCAAACTCAAACCTGTGAGGGACCCAGGGTTGGGGTCTAGAACAGGGTTCGTACCTGGTCAGGTCCTCCTCGCTGGAGCTGGACAATCCCATCGCTCGTCGGACATAGGGACATAGGTAAGCCCGATAGGTTGAATATCGCAAGAGCTGATGGTGGCACGCTTTAAGGAAAGCCGGGGGTCCACCGTCACATGACAGACCATTTATACACATATACTAACCACGCAACAAATTATGTAGACAAGTAGTGTAGTAGTACAATTCGGAACATCAAGTTCCTTACCAGGTTGTTGTTTTATCACTACTAACAATTTGAGTTACTCGTCCATATCATTCGAACCCTGCGGGGAATGTTTTGCCCCCATTGCCACCATCCAGTAAAGTGCATTCCATACCCAAGGCCTTTTGGCCAGAATTCCAGCGATAGGTGATGACAGAATACTATAGACCGATTCTTAATAAATAGTGCAACTGTTGATTGATTGATAGCGGTACCGTACCTTGCGTGATCGATCAAAGACAACGAAGTCCCATTGATTGCCATCGGTTATCGCACCGAAACAACCAACTCTTGACTGACCTTGGGCTTCGCGAACCTAGATAGCTGAGTTCGCTGTCCAAACAGGAGGATATGGAATACTTACCCCATAACATATATCCCAATAGTTGCGCAAGTCCTCCTCCCCACCATCGCCTCTCTCTTGGCTTCCACATTGACCATTTGTGTAGAAGGTTTAGTTCAGTCTTCATACCATATCGAATAATCGGATGACCCGGCAATCTTGACTATAGCAAGACTGTCGAGAATTGTCTCGACGCCAAGTCTCATTTCACGGGCGCGATCCTCTTTGGTGGCCCGCTGTTGGTGCATAAGAGCACTTAGGATTCGATCGATCCTCATTCTCGCAGCTTCGACGTCTATGAATCCACTTAGTTTCTGCACGGTATGTTTGGAAGGATCATCGCTTACCGAGACTATGAGGAAATCGGACGTAGCCCTCCACTCAGAAATGGAAGGATCCTCGGTTATACCGAAATAAAATTGGATGTCTGCCAGTTCGAGGCACCCAAAGGGAACCAAACGATACTCGTCTCCGGCCCACGCGAGGAGTTTCTTGCAGAGGGCATTCATCTCCCTCATGTCTTTCATCGTCGCTAAACGACTTCGATGAAAATGCCTCTTTGATTGGGCTCAAGAGCGACTGTATCTCTTTCCGGGGATCGAATCTTTATTCGATCCCGGTTGGTACGGGGCTCACGAATGGCACCCCCAGAGGCGAAATAACCAGTGGAGTACTGGCTGCGCTGCTAGCCATGATAACGTCTTAGGGCTTTGAAAACCAATGTGTCGGGAAGCACACCCCGGAAGGTGGCCAGTCTTTCTCGTCGGGAGTGTCGGCCACATAACCCTGTCAGAATGTCTGCTCACACTTGGTCTGCGATGCTGGGTTTTCTTGTTTCCATTCGGGGTCAGATAAGTGCGATTCGGTATGTCTTCAGACTCATGCAATCTGGGCTTCAGGAGGGATTTTGATGGAATTGCTAAAGGAAAGTTGTAAAATGGTTGATTGATCGAGATGAATAAGGAGCTAAAGACATTGGCTTCGCGGTTGTTGTTCTACTTAACTTTCTATATCTCTGAGGCAGAAGGGTCCGGGGGTGAATAATTTTACTGAATTCAAGGAAGGAGCGATCGCTACGCGGCGAGGACTAAGCGAATACTGGTGAAGTTGGTGAATACATGTTCAGTGAAAGGCTCAACCTACTCTATGAAGGTACTATACCTGGATGAATCAAAATGCATGAGGAAAAGTGAATGTTTGCAATGATGTATACAGTTAATCTTGCTTCAGGGTGAAGGCAAACAAACGAGAGAGCTCTCTACATTTCTACTAGTGAATGTAGTACCAACTTCGCAATTGGAGGGGGGCATTATCCCGGGGTCAGAGGGGTTTATATTCCGAGTCGGTATATGATTGAGTCGAAGAGGGAGCTGCATAGAGAGTCTTGCAGTGTAACGCAGCTAACGGATGCCACCTTATTTACCTCTGAAGTCCGGCAAAGCGGATTTTCTGTTGATCGTAACTAGAGGAATACAGACAGATATAAGAATGAGGTTTTAGCCATATCTAGGCGATGTACTATTCGATTCTTAATAGTTATATTGCATGGAACAGATATCTAGAGCTGCGTGTGATAGATGTCTTCAAGCTTATCTCAGCATCTTGATATTGGTATTAACAAGGCAAAGAATATTATATGAAAATACTACACGAACTGGCAGAATCACAGGTCGTCACGGGATAGCCGATTTCATATCCGATCCACCATGACGAATGTATGTCAATCACACCCACCCACAACATCCTAATTAAACCATCGCTCCATCAAGCCAAGCACGAACCCTTTCGCAACCGTGCGATGCCGCCACACCAAACGCCCCAATAGTGCAACCGACCCCAGCCATCCCGCCAACCCCACCCCCGCCAACGCCATCAGATCCCAGTTGCGCACCTTATACATCGACATCCTCATATCCGCCGTCTGCAGATGCATCGGGCGGACCTCCTTTCCGTCCACAACCCGCAGCTCGGTGTCATACAGCACCTCCTCCACCAGATCCGCCGCGTAGTGCTTCCGGCGCGACGCCACCCTAGCAATCCGCTGCAGCCGCAGCGACTCGCGCGCGTACCCGCCGCCGACATCTTCGACGATGCGGCGCGCCTTCTCGAAGACCTCCTCCGCGGTGAAGGAGAACTTGTTCAGCGGCTCCGCGACGCCGCCGTGCACCAGCCGCGCCGTGTTGGCGATCTGGTCCGAGAAGATTCCCATCGCCAGCATGGGCTTGCCGTGGTAGAGGCCCTCATTGGCGCTTGAGCCGCCGCCGTGGGTGAAGTAGAGGCGCACGGCCGGGTGGTCGAGAAGGGCGCGCTGGGGGGCGAAGTTGGGGAAGAGGAAGGCCGGGTGATGGCCGGCTAGGAGGTCGGCTAGAGTGATCGTTCCTTGTCTGGACTCCTTGTTGCTGTCGACAGTATTTGAAACCACCGGAGGAGTCACGAACGTGAATAAGGCGGATGGGTCGAGGTCCTGTCGGCCGCTTTGGCCGACCGCCCAGATGACGCCGTCAATGACGGAAGCCTCCAAAAGCCGAAACAGCGCGGTGAGAATCTTGGAGGCGTCCGCCATAGAAAGGATGACATGCGTGCCGAGGGCAATGTAGATGACCTTCTTGCGGTCGGAGAGGAACTTAGTGTAATGCTCGTCGCACGGCGGGTATGTGTCGCTCAGTATCGGGCCTACGACGGCCGCGAGCGGCGGCAGGTCGCGCGGGACCTCGAGTCCAAAGAATGAGTTGATGAAGACTAGGTAGTCGGGTTTGCGGGTGTTGGGAATGGAGTAGTGTACGCCATGGGCGCGGCGCATTTGCTTCGTCCAGCGGAAGAAGCGGATGATCTCCCTCACGCCCTTGACGACCACGAGTTCGTTCTTCAGACGAAGCCAGATGGAGGCGTGCTCGGAGGTGAGGGTGCCGTCCAGCTGGAAGCCTGGCTGTCCGGGGATGTAGCTGCACGGAAGCATCAAAGCTGGCATTTGTGGGTGCACGATGGCCACGGGCACTTGATATTGGAAGTGCATGTCTTTGACGGCATCAACGAAGAAGTCCGCGATGATAAAGTCGGGACGGCGGGCAGAGTCGTCCATGATATCCTTGAGGTGGTCGTAGGTCACCGGCCAGAAGGAGTCGAACATGTACTTCGAGGGCATGGCGCCCGCTAGGCCGACAGACATGTCCCATTTCCGCATGCGCAAGTAATGCTCGCTCAATTGCTGCTCGGTCGGACCGGCTCCGAGTATATGGAGTTGAGAGATGAATGGGTAGTCTTCCGTCCAGTGCTCCTGGCCCTCCATGGTTGCGAAGTCGATTGTATGGCCTCGCTCGGAGAGGACCTTGCCCAGTTCGAGGACCGGAGCTGGATCTGGGTCAGTATGTTCACTCGATCTGAAGATGTGAGCGTACCGGCATGGGTAAAGCCACCCGTCGTTGCGACCAGGAGAATCTTGCGGGATGGATGTGCGTTATCGCTCATGGTGCCTTGAGTGGCCTGGAGAGGTTGTTTCATGGTCCATAATGTGGCCCGGTAGTTGACGCGATATAAGTATAGGAATGTTCCGCCCCCAAAGGCACAGACGATCCGATCATCCGAGGACTCTAGTCGGATCGGAGATATGGCTCCATTGTCAGGCCATGGAGTGGATCTGCCTTAGTTTGGCGGGGTTAGCTTGTAGACGAAGCTTAAACTCGGAGCCTTATCTTGCCTTCACCTCCACCAGACATGAACCCAGGCAGCAATAGCAGCACCAACAACAGCAATAACAAGATCTAACTGTAGGACTTTGGCCTTGTTGTGCTGATGATGCGACCAGTGTGAAAGCAGAATGATAGAAAGACGAGAAAAGTTGCCATCCGACAGGCAGTGCTCGTGTAATCCTTCCTCCCCGCCACGCATGCGAGTCTATTCCAGATCGGGAAGCTGTTGCGAAGCACCTCTGGGCACCGCCCATTGACCGGACCGCATGACGACAAAGGACTGTCTTACCTATATCAACCATTCGTATAGGACCCCTTGAAGTTGAAAATCCTGCAGCCTGATACAGGCGATTATAGCAATCAATGCGAGGCATCACCGCCGACATCCTAGAATGGGGTATATATATCACCTTTGAATCGTCACGTCGCGTCGGCGCCCACTGCCTAGATCCATCCATATTTAATCGCCGAGCATAACTCTCGGCGACTTTCCAGCCTTCCTCGCAAGATAACGACGTTCACCTCACTGCATATCTCGATTCAAGAGTTCTACCACAATGGGAAAATCAAAATCAGCAACCACCAACACCACAACTCTAACTAATGGTTCGCCCACCATCCGCCGCTCCGCGCTAACCGAGTGCTCTCTGTCCCACCTCACTCCCTCGGACTATATCGCGCGGAGCGTCCTCACGGCTGTCACCATCACCGGCGTGAGTGGCATCGACAGAACCACAGCCTCAACCTCAGCGTCAACTTCCGCCTCGGCCTGTTCATCCAATCTATTAACAACGAGCATCAGCCGCTCCACCTGCACCAGCTGCACCATCACACACTCCCACCTGCATCACTGCATCTTCGCCAACTGCACCCTCACCAACGTCTCCTCCAGCAAATTCGTGCAAGCCGACCACTGCACTCTAGAGAATGTCATCTCGCTCCGGAGATGCACCATCAGCGACTCGATCATCGGCGAGTGGTCATGGATGACGCGCTGCGAGATGAGAGCCTCGAAGATTGGAGGCGCGAGTGCCCTTCGGCGTAGCACCGTCAGTGACTGTCGCGTGACGGGCAGCCGGTTGAAGAAGGCAAGACTCGTGAATTGCGAGGTTGAAGGGTGTGTGGTTGTCAATACTGAGCTTAAGGGGGTGGTGGCCAAGAATGGGGTGTGGAAGAATGGAAGCTTGGTGGGCAGGGTGGATCAGAGCAAGGATGTGGTGATTGTGGGCAGGGATGGGAAGAATAAGGTATGTCAGGCCCCGTCTGCGATCCTGCAGAAAATCCCCAAGGGAAATGGACTGGCATGGGCTAGGCTAACGAAGACTTCATGACAGAAGATTGAGAACGCGGTCGGAGTGAAGGGAATTGTAGCTGAGAAAAGGAGCATGGAAAGGGACCTGATTGAGAGTAGTGACGATGGTGCTGAAATTGAAGGTTGGGAAAGAAATGGCCGCCGACAAATCTGTGAACTTCAAGGCACGGAGCCGCCACCCCCTTATACAGCTTGACGAGGCTATTGAGATCGTTTGACCGCGCCGGACGGGCTATAAGCGACCTGGTATGGCAACATGAGCAGTTTCGCTCTAGTGCAACTTTGGGTTTGTGACCTGCTGATCGTGGTCTGAAGCAGCCACTGGCTGGGAGCAGGGCTTCTTTCTAGCAGAATAATGACTACCAACTTGGGCATTTTTCAGTCTTCAAAAGCACGATTCCTTGGATTTTATTGCCAGGGAATACTCCTTCACATCTCCGATACCTCGTTTCATCACCTCAGGTAATCCACGGTGACCGCCTCATTTAAATGGCCCAGAGCAGTATGTATTCCGGAGTCTAATCCTTTGTTCGAAGAGCTGAATCAATACCAATTACTTCTAGATAACGCAGACACTTCTATGGCAGGTCGAGGGATGAATCATACCAGTCCCCTCAATCTTACACTCATGGCTACTCATCAAAAGGATTGAGGCATAGCCGAGGCTGTCGGGTCCTACACAGAGCTTCCATTACCACAGAAGCACCTCAGGAGATCGAAAAAAAGAGCGTTTTCCGATATAGGCGTACAGACGAGACACTCGATTAGAGATGTTATCCTCCTTCATGATCCACAGGTCGACTAGTGACCGGGTCTGTAGTCGACTTCGTCCAAGCAGTTGACTGTGTCGCATACATAATCATGACAAAGAATCCTTTGAAAAGCCAAGCCAAGATTTTTTCCGAGCTGTTGTGTTGCTCGAACAGCCGCTGCTGAGAAACACTACACACTGTGGTTCGAAAAGACAGTGCGATATTGAGATCGGAAGAGTATAACTTCCGGTGGTGGTGGAGGAGGTAGCCCCTCTTCTTAAAAACATAAGTCCCTTCATTGGCCTATTCTCGCAAAGCTCAAATTGTTTCCAAATAGCTGCAGAGTAGTGTGAAGTACTAGTACTAGTCTTATTTTATTGTTCGCTTAGTTCGTCGTCTTGCACTGAGGCCAACCGCCAAAGTGCCGGCTGGGCGTAGTGCACCAGTCTAGCTAGCTCTGGGTTAGTTTCCCGAGCTAGCGCACAGACGGCGCCTTGACCGTTCCAGGCTGTAGGCAGGCAGCCGCGCCGCATAAAGTCTCTTCGGATCTTGCGTCATGATGTGGCATGCTGCATGATGTGTGACAGGTCTACTCCTTGCAATTTTGAATGTTGCTTCACTTGATGCAGTTGATGAAGCAATTTTGGTCGGATAAGCTCGGGGGATGGATCAGGAGAAAGGAGACAACTTGGCGTGGAGAAGGGGGCCACAACCAATTTCATATGGCGTCAAACGGTGGAGAGAACTGGCTCTGCCCTGTAGGGAGTGGGTCGCAAAACAGCCTGGATTGCGAAGTATGGGTGGAACCGGCACGAGGTCAGCAGCAGTCAGTTCAGCAGGTACAACGTAGCTGGGAGAAACCTGTAGTACAGAAGAATTGGAGTGCATTGGTCATATTTTAAAGTGATGCAAACATAAGAGAGAGGAAAGAGGGGAAGAATGTTGTAATACGGAGTAAGTTAGTACTGTACTCACGCACTGCGATGTTCATGCTTCATGGACAGCCTTGAAAGGATAACCTGCAAGGCGGTGGGGAACGGCAGAGGCTAGGGGGACAGACTAAGAAACTAACGCCACTTCGCTCGATCGGCCGGCGCCCTTCCGCCTTCCTGAACTAGTCCTTGGTCTGCGACCAGGAATCCTTGGGACTCCAGTCTCTCCTATCACTAACTACTTATCTCTTGCGAGATTTATTTTTCTTGCTCTTCTCCTGCTCTTCTCCAATCTTCCCTCTTCTCCTTGATCCTGCTACTGCGAATCTCTTCAGGGTCACTCGCTTGGTGCGCCTGGATATCGATCTTCGCCGCCTGATTAGGGGTCGCTGTCGTCATCTTATTCCCATCCCACGCGCGCCACGGAGCGCAAGGCCAAACACGATGGGCCTCTCCAAGACCAACAGGATTCTGATCCTGTTGGCTATTGACTCGGCTTTCTTCTTGCTAGAATTGATTGCTGGTTTGTCTCTCCAAAATTTGAATCTCTGACTGCCGCCGTTCTAACCTGTTGGACTTGAATAGGTTACAGCGTCCACTCGCTTGCCCTTGTTGCCGACTCCTTTCATATGGTACGCCTCGGCCCACACTCTGCAGCCCTCCGACCGCTTTGTTGACCTGTTTGCCATAGCTCAATGATGTTCTGTCTCTATTGGTTGGATTATGGGCCGTTAAAGTCGCCAACCGCGAAACCAACTCGAAGATGTACACATATGGGGTGAGCTGTCTCCTTTCCGGCACACCGCTTGGAACGCGTTCTAACCATCATCGTCCGGTTCGCAGTGGCAACGCGCAGAAACACTAGGTGCCTTAGTCAACGGAGTATTCTTGGTCGCCTTGTGTTTGTCTATCTTCTTGGAGGCCATACAGAGACTGGTGGAGCCTCAGGAGGTCAAGAATCCAAAATTTGTCTGCATTGTCGGTTGTTTAGGTCTGCTATCAAACATCATTGGCTTAGTCCTTTTCCATGACCATTCTCATGGACACGGTCACAGCCATGGTCACGCAGACATCGAAGAAGGTGACTTTTCGCAGGAAGGCCATGGTCATGAGCATAGTCATGACCCTGTTCCAGTCTTGGAGCAAGGAAACACAACTAGCGTGAGTAGGCCAGTCCCCATCTTTCAGGACACATGTTGACTTTTGAATGCAGCGTACTGCTGGCGCGGACGCCTCCTCCCCGTATTCAAACCGTCGTCGGACCTTGGACAGTCAGCACCGCAGTTCTCGTCGCTACAGCGGCGCAACCGGCCGTGGGTTCCTTGATGTCGAAGAGATCCAAGTCCATCCCGCCACTTTGCGGCAGGAAATCATTGCAGCCAGTCGCTCTCGCTATGATGACCCATCGGGATCCGACACCGACGTGCTTGAGGGTGGGGACCCCGAGGGCGTCCGTCCATCCGAACGCTCTGCGCTATTGGGCCACAAGGATCGTGCTGGCAACTATACTGACGCCGGAAATGCCTCGCCTAAGACGGCTCATCGATTTCCCGTGGACGACGACATTCACAGGCATCACAACCATGCCCAGCCTAAACAGAAGGATGAGAAGCATGGCCATGGCCATAGCCATGATCTGAATATGCGAGGTGTTTTCCTTCATGTGATGGGTGATGCGCTCGGCAACATCGGCGTCATTGCCTCCGCCCTGATCATCTGGCTGACTGATTACTCCTGGCGCTTCTATGTGGATCCTGGCATTTCATTGGTGATCACCGTGATTATTCTCTGTTCTGCCATCCCTCTTTGCAAAGCGGCCTCGCGGATTCTGCTTCAGGCTGTGCCCCACGGCCTTAGCATTGACCATATCAAGGAAGACATTGAAGGACTGCCGGGAGTAATGGGCTCCCACCACTTGCATGTCTGGCAGTTGAGTGACACCAAGCTTGTGGCCTCGATTCACATTCAGGTCGATACGGAGATCAAGGGCGAGGGTTCGGAGCGGTACATGCGTTTAGCCAGGCAGGTGCGCAAGTGCTTGCATGCCTATGGCATTCATTCGTCCACCATCCAACCCGAATTTGCGCCGGACAGTGATGCCGAAGACACCATTCAATTCCCTTCTCACCCCGATGGTGAAGCCTCTACTTCGACGACGCTCCCAAGCCGTACACCTAGCGTCCCTGAAGGCGATCCTCAGGCTTGTCTTCTTGAATGTGGCGAAGAATGCGCTCAAAACGGCCAGTGCTGTCCGAAGAGGTCGCCGTGACTGTATTAGGGAGGGGTCGCGATACTCTTCCGTCTAATTACCTCACCTTTACCCTTCCTTATAAGACGACTCGCCCTAAAAATACTGTTTCCTATCCGTACTGATCATACCCGATTGTTTCTGGTGACTGAAATGTCATCTGTTGAGTTTGTCCCTGTTAATAATCTCTGTTTGGACTTGGCGCATGTTCGGCGGGCACTTTGACATAAATGCATCCAGGCGTGCGCATCTCGCGCTTGTTTTCAAGTATCTCTACCAAAATTACACCGTACTATATGTGGGTCATATGTTGGAATTATCAAGCCACCTGTGCTTGTAGGATGCCTATTTTAAAGAATTCGGGCGCAGAGTTAACATGTAGCAATATGTAGTAGCAACATGTAGTAGCAATTCCCAGAGACTGCACATGCTGACGGGCGGTGACCAAAGACAAGGCTTGGAGTGAGACAGGGATGGGATAGTTCGCCCGCGGTCGGAGGCTGTCAGTTACCAGAATTGCCAAAATTGGAACAAGACCCCCAAACTGAACTAAACCCAGCTGGAGAAGCCGCGGCGGCCACACGTGACGTGATCCCGCGCCTGGTTGGCGGCGAAACACCCCTGGGCTGGCATCTTCACTTGCTCATTCCCTCATTCTCTCACATTGACACTTACTCTTCTCTGGATCAAACTATTTTCACTCGCTTCTTACATCTCTTTTCTTGATTATACTGCATCTCGAGGCATGCGGTCGCGACTCGTTCTTTACTAACTGCTTTAAACTCGTTTCAGCATCGGAGCGGCAATGCCGCATGACGGTAGCTGCATCTCCACTGTGCACCAACAACCATGAGTTACGCCTACCCTCGTTCACACGGCGCCAGCTCTGCCAGTTATCGGCCAGCCAGTCGCGAAACTGATATGGAACCAGCGACATTGTCACAGCAGATGCGAGATTACCTGCCATCATGGACACAACAATGGGCGATGGAATTGACAAATGGAATTCAAAGTCGGGATGGGGTGTTGTCGTTGCTACGGAGGACATTCCGGTGGATCTTTACCATCACAAATGCGCTGGTAGTCCTGTGGGCTTGCACGCTTTGGTGGGGAGAGCGGACCATTTTTCAGGATAGCGTCAAGGCATGTGCGTGGGGAAACTGGGAGAAATGGGTATGTGACATTGTTGCTTTACGGCCCTTCGCCGACTGTCTCTATCTTTGGATCCATCTAAACAGTGGTGCTCTGTAGCCTCAAGACGCCGTGCCGCACCATGTCGCCTTCATCGCCGATCCCCAACTAGTCGATCCTCATACCTACCCCGGCCGGCCGTGGCCTATGTCGACCTTGACCGTCAAGTTCACCGACCAATACATGCGGCGTTCGTTTTCTACATTGCAAAAAGAGCTAGGTCCCGACTCGGTACTATTCCTGGGCGACTTGTTCGATGGCGGCAGGGAATGGGCGACGGCAACTAGCTCCAGTCCGGAGAAGCGGTACCAAAAATACAAGGATCGGTTTTGGAAGAAGGAGTTCCATCGATTCACTAAGATATTCATGGATACCTGGAATCACGGCGATGGACACGCGAGCGATCCTCGTGGGCGAAGAATGATCACGAGCTTACCGGGCAACCACGACTTGGGCTTTGGGTCGGGTGTCCAGATCCCTGTTCGGGAACGATTCCAGAGCTTTTTTGGGAAAGGTAATCGCGTGGACGTGATTGGAAACCATACCTTTGTCTTAGTAGACACCGTCTCGTTGAGCGCCATGGATCAACCTGATCCGGAGACTGGCAGCTCGGGTGCCGGCACAGGGGAGGGGGTCCTGCCAAACCAGCGCATCTGGGCGGAGACGGAGCAATTTCTCAACAACATGAACGTACACCGGGGCCGGGCGGAGATGGAATCGTTGCGCATGATGAGGAATGAGAGCGAGGGGCATCTTTATGTGCATCGGGCTGTGGACATCTTGGAGCCCTCCTTCTATCGCCGACCGCAGCCAGAGATTGCAGGCCTCCCCGCGATTCTCTTAACCCACGTCCCATTGTATCGCAAACCGGCCACGCCATGCGGGCCTTACCGAGAGCGGTATCCCCCAACGGATGACAATCTGGAAGAGGATGAGCGCAACTCCATACCTATGGGGCGGGGATACCAGTACCAGAATGTGTTAACGCCCACCATCTCGCGGGACATCGTTTCCAAGGTTGGGCCTAACCTCGTTCACGTCTACTCCGGGGATGATCATGACTACTGCGAAATTGCTCATCACGAATTCAGTGGGTCACCCCGGGAAATCACGGTGAAGAGCCTGTCTTGGGCGATGGGGATTCGACGGCCCGGCTTCGTGATGACCAGCCTGTGGAACCCTATCGACAAGGCGACGGGGCAGTCGCTGCAGTCCTCCGGATCTGGTCGGACCGTGCAGAATCACTTGTGCCTTCTTCCCGACCAGCTCTCCATTTTCATCAACTACGGCCTTGTCTTGGCTTTCACCCTGATTGTTCTCCTTCTCCGGGCGGTGTTTGTGGTGAAACATCCCTCACAGGCTAGCGCGGCAGACCCCATCCTCCCTCTGTCGGAGAATCGCAGTCGCCCTCCACAGCGCCCCGCCCGATACAAGAGCCCGTCTTCAAGTACGTCCAGCTCCACACTTCCATCCCCGCACGGCTTGGCTAGTCGCGCGACCAACAATCCTCCTTTGCACGCCACTTACGCAAGTGCAGATGAGGATGAGCTGAGTAGCGCCAAATGGAAGCCAACGCGGGATGGGTCTGGGCGCCGAGCCGGCCGGAATACGACCACAGCCGGGAAGATTAAGGGGGAGTTTGTAGATTCTGTGAAGTACGTAGCTGGGATTGTGTTTTCATGGTATTTCTTTCTCATCTGGCGTTGGTAGAGGAAATAAAAAACATGGATTGGGGGGACGGAGTTTGTAGACATGGCGGCTTTGTCCTGGATATATATACATCTGCGGGGTTTGGCACTCGGGACGGAATTTCACTGCAACCTCGCTGGTCCAGGTTTCGGCATTTCAGTTCTGTATGTGGGCAATAGCATCCTCATCAATCATGCTGCTGATCAGCGAAAATCCCAAGCCAGTTTCGATTCGAATTGCTTCCATTTCGTAGAGGACAGCATCCTTGTACCTGCTATGGACAAATACGCTAGGATCAAACACGAAAGTAAGGGCCTTGCGCGCGGGATGCAGATCGCCTGTCGGAGCAGCCCACGCACGTGATTAGAGCAGGCGGGTAACCTTAACCCTATTTAGCCTTCGCACTAGCATATCTTGTGTAACCATCAAACTACCACCACAAGATTCAAGATATCATCGACGTTGCTGGCTCAAATGGCCTCATCTCATTGCGCAAGCATCATATAACATGGCCAAAAGCTCATAACATACACCGTCCGATGTAGTGTAACGGCTATCATACCTGTCTTTCACACAGGAGATCGGGGTTCGATTCCCCGCATCGGAGAGCTACAATTTTTTTTTTCGTGGCTGGGTTTCGTCTTCTTTAGAGCTTCAGACCCCAATATGCTTTTTTTTTGTTGGGGTGTTATGGGTGGTCCACGCGGGTGACGTGTTCCTGCCTTTCTTGGCCAGCAAACTACAATTTGCCCATGGCTTTACTCAGGGATTGGAGGCCAAAAGATGGGAAACATGGCTTAGGTGGCTATCTCTAATGAAAGTCGCTCTAAGCTAGATTTCGTATACGAATTTGGCGATTGAATGATTGTTGAACACCAGGAGTCTATGAATGCATTGTCTGGTATTCAAATAAGCTGGCCAGGGCTGGTCAGAGCAGGAAAGGGGGGGATTGACCCGTCCCATGTAGGTGACTATCGTACGGCAGATGTGAAAGACAGAGCCATTGAGATCCCGTCTTTGGAACAGAGAGCCTCAACTGCCTTCTCCATACGGAGTACACTTCTACTTGCTCTGTCTCACATTCAGCGCTGGTGTCTGATCTGGAAACCCCCACCCGGGGGGACGCAACATCTGGGGATGTATGGACCATGAACAGCAACCCCGCATTCTGACACTGGTCTTAAGACCACCACCATCAATGGAATCCAACATGGCAACCTCTGAAGCGGGAAAGAAACAGGCTCTTTCACCAAAGGATGACGTTGAACCGTCCCCAGATCCTCGTGTTTTGTTGAGTTTGACTTTGATCCCGCGGGGGAAGGGAAGATCACCTCCTTTTCGATTTGGAGTGCCGTGCCCAGTGCCCAGTGGCTGCCTAAACAGACCTCTCATTTGCCAACCCTAAATCTGCCTGGGGAGAGGAAACCTGGTGCAATCAGAGCGGCACCATCGTCACAGATGGCGCCAGCGCCGTCATTTCCCGGGGTCGGGAAAGGATCGCACACAGCAAGCCTCCGTCCTCCGCTCCGGCAACAATCGATCGGCTCGGGGGCGTCCAGGAAAGTTTCTTGGTTCTTGTTGCTTGGTTATTCTTGTCCTCCATCGCATTAGTCAAGACTTTGGTAGACTAGGTCGTTAGTCATGTGTAGATTCTGAAAATAGCATCATTTCGCCCTCGTGGAAGTCGGCATTTTGGAGACTCAGAGTCAAGCATCTAGACGGCTCCAGATGACAGACACAAGTAAAAAAAAATCCGGGGATGTTGATCATGTGGCAAAGCAAGGATGAGAAAAATTTTCCGCAAGGTGCAAAGCCACGACTCTGGACCTGGATTGAGGGGAAATCGCCGACGCTCGCCAGGGACCGATAGAGAACAAAACTGGCTCTAAGCCGAGTTCGGGTTCCCGGTGAGGATGTTGGTTGGTGAAGGATGGACCGATGGGTGAAACTTGAGGGGGCCCTGGGGGGTTTGCTTTTCGGCTCTGGCCGTGCTGGAAAGCAAAGCTCCTGAACCATCGGGTGAGCCGTGGTTCGGAGTTGAGTACTGATGACTGTGGCTGAGGCAATTGGAGGCTAAGGAAGTTAGGCTAGTTTAGCGTGGATTTAGCGTGGGAAAATAGAACGCTAAGGCTAGACCTCAAACGGGGAATTTTTTTTTTCACTTTTCACTGTTCACCCCACGCCGGGTTGGTCTGGGGAAGAAAGTTCCAAAAGTTTCTGATCTTGTGATCATCTTGACAGACTGACAGTTCGGGCAAAATCGCCGTCAAGATTTCCGAATTGGCTCTAGTTCTCTTATGCAGAGTGTCGTTGTCAGGTCCCTCTGAGTGCCTCTGTTTATTGTGGCTGATTTGGCTGATTCGGGATGGGTAATTGGTAAGACCGGCTACCCGAATGC